GCTCTTCCAATAAGACAAGGAGGATCTGCTTGTCTGGAGCTGAGTCTCCGTGGCCCTGTCACTCTGCTGACTGCAGAAAAGAGTCCCACCTCTTGGAACCCAGCTGCTTGCCCAAGTTCTTTCCCCACAACATCCCTTTTGCCCACCCTGTCCACCCAGCAACCAGACACTGCAGGGCTCTTTAACCCACATTGTCTTTGTCCCCTCAAATCTTCCTCAGTGCCTTGTAGCCTTATAGTTATCCCAATCCACAAACCCCAGAGAACAAACACTGTCTCAAGGCACCACCTAGGGACATGCGGGTCCAACCACAGCAGGGCTCAGGGCACTCTCATCTTAACTTTCCCCACAGTGCCCTCTTCCATGCCTAGCACACAGCAGGAGCTGTTGAACTGCCATCATCAGCAATGGCCTGAAAGAGGTTCTTAGAAAGGTGAAGAATAAGAGAGGGGAGCAGAAAGGAAGTAACTGGCTCTGTCCCCAATGACATGAGCTCCCTGGACTCTCTTGCATTTTGGTCAGGTCCGTTTTCAGGAATATGGAGCTCCCACAAAACCCGACCTACCCTTCTCCCTAGGAAGGCAGGGTGAAGATCAGGCCCAGGAGTGACCCAAGAGTCATTTGTAAACCCAGGGCCCTTAGTAGTCAGGGCACTGTGAACTACACACACAAGGAGCCAAAACTGCAGTTTTCTATTTGTTCTCATAAAGGGAATTCGGTCTCTTAAGGGTCTGTTGCCTTTTCGTTGTTGGTTTAAAAAGAATGAACAAAGCAATGAGAATACAGGCAGGCCTGAACTACCTGCCAGGCAGGGAGACAGGAGAACTGCGGGAGAGAGGCTACCAGTGCCTCTGGATCAGGCCAGAACTGGGGAAATGGGCAGTTGGCAGAAGCCAAGCACATCAAACACACATTCTCAAAATCACAGGACTGGCAAACATGAAGGTGCTCCTGGTCACAGGAGAAGCAGGGAGCCGGACTGAAGGCTGAGCATGCGGTCTGCACTGTTCCCTGAAGCGAGCCGTGACAGGTGCAAGCAGAAAGACAAAGCCTGGAGAACAGAGTGTGGGCAGGGTTAGGGGCAGCACGGGCAATATTGGTGGGGGCAGTGTGGGGTGAACGTGAGGATGAAAACAACCAGCACACGACAGTGACAGAATGGTGGGTGAGGATGGATGGCTGTGAGGAGGGCATGGTACCCATCCTCCCTGGGAAGCCCCACCCACAGACACCAGTTCCCAAGAACCCTGTTCTTGTCCCCTCTGCAGACCATATATAGACCATATAGACCATAAATTGTGGCTAAATTTGGCCTTGTGCCCCTAACTAAGCCAGGCCTCTGGGCCATGCACTCTCCCCTCAGTGCTGATCTTGGTCTGCCCCACTCCTTAGCTGTGTGACGACTGACTTGAGCCTAATTTCTCTGGGCTGTTCTGTGCATCTGGCAGTGTTGCCAGAAGACCTAGATGGATCTGGACACACACTGGTTAAGAATCTCAGACCATCCACAGGGGAAGCCCTCTGACTTCTGAGGCCCTTCCTGGCTTTGACACTCTCAAGTGACACAGAGCGTGATAGGCAACAGCAAGGCTCTTCATCCAATAGATACTTCTACTGACATATCCTGAAAGTCAATTAAGCCAGGTCAAATGAAGGCCAAAGTCATTTAGGAACAGTCCTGCTCCATCATCCTTCACTGGGGCACCTCCAACAAGAACAAAACACAGAAATACAATCTGTACAGTCAGCCTCACAAGCCTGGAAGAGACTTTGACCATATTCTCTCTCAACTCTGCCCCAACAAGCAGAAAGCCCTGCCTGCTCTCAGCTTGATTTTCTTTTAGGGAAACAAGGCCACTGTCAAGCCTGATGGTGGCTGTGAAGATGGAGACATGCCACCACCCTGCAGGCACCTGCCTGAAGCCTGGCACTGAGAGCATGTAAGTGCTATGTGGAGATGCCTAACTGCTCATGCATGCCCACATGTGCAGACACCTAGTACGTGGGGCAAAACAAGATTCTACTCAACTATTCCCTTCTGCCATTTGACATGTGCACACAGCGACCACCGGGAGCCCCCTAAAGGTTATAATGTACTTCTCATGTCATTTCCCTAGAGAGGAAGTCTCAATATGAAGTATATGGGCCAATTCCAGGAGATACACATAAGGAAGCTAGTTGAGATGGGAAAACAGCTGTATCAGCTGGACACTCCATCTCTCCCTCTCTGTTTCAGTCTTCTCAATCTAGGGTATCCTTGTGACTTTGCTAAGAAGAGCTGCGCGTGATGGCCAGCTACGGTGGCCTCAGGGGGCAGTCCTAAAGCTTTTGCCAAGTGTGATAGACTGCAAGAAGTGTCTACCTCCAGTGCAGGCAACACAAGGGTGCAAGTCAGACAGTTCAGACAGTGAAGCTGGGTCTTAGGAAGGAGCTACTATCAAATGGCATGCTAGTCATATCCACCTGATGATTCATTTGGCACTGCCTACACCTCTTTTGAGGCCACACTCCAGCTAGAAAGTTGGGGTAGAAACCAAGACTGATGATATGCCCCAGGACCTGGGCTTCTCACTCTATGAGGTACTTCCCAGTTCATGTACCTGCTTCACTGGTCATCTGAAGAACTGCATCTAGGAAGAGGCCAGGCTGTGAAATATTTTTAATACCCTTGAGGCAAACCAAAAAAGGCCCATGTCTAAGAAAGCTAAGCTTGTAATCAAGGGAGCTAGGCTGGAATTCAGAGGTCTGATTCCAGGGCCTAGACTGCCCTTGCCCCTCCATTTGACCTCTAACAACTCCCTAGTCAAAGTGACACTGGGCTAGAAGCACCCAGCACCCTAGCTGCACTGGGAGGGTGACTGACTCCATAGGAAGTAATAATACCCCTGTCCTCGGTCAGATCATGAGACAGGAGTAGTGGTGGGTAGTGTGGCTTCAAGCTACCAACAAATAAATGCCTTGGCTTGCTTGCTGCTGCCTAAGGTCTAGACCTTTCCCTAGAAACCGAGAAACTGATGAAAAGGTCACTACAACATCTGAAGAGCACAGCTATTTTAGGGTTCTAATTACTTTCCTGTTATAGACATTTCTTTAGGGATGCAGAGGGTGAAGAGGCTGGGGGTTCTAAAGGCAAATTTCTCTATACAGTGGGGCTGGACAAAAATGGGGTGTGGGAACACAGTGGCTTCAGTTAGCAGGAATAATTTTGAAACCACTGAAAGTATATCCAAACTTATTTATTCTGCAAACTTCCAGAACAAATAGTTAGGTTAGCACCATAACCATGCCATGCCCGGTACCCAGTTCCTGAACTCTGCAGTAGCCCCCAATAGCTCTATGGTCGCACATGTGCCCACATGGGTTATAAGACCTTATGTGCCAAGTGATGACATGGGTTCCTCAAAGCATGATCAATCCTGTGGGCTGATAGCTGAGCCCATGGCACCTGCAATCTGAGCTGGTGGGGGTGGGCCTACAGAGCTGGTACAGGTCCTCCCTAGCCCGGAAGCACATGACAGGGTCACAGCACAAACCACTGAAAAAGGTGGTCCTTTCTCCTGAGAACGTTGGCAGGGTAGCGGAATCCCCACCAGAAGTATCTAGCAGAGACTCACAGAGCAAGGGTCTACTTCTGTGTTTTCTCAGTATCTTCAAGAGTCAGGGATTGGAACAGTGTGGTTCTCCCAATTAACTGGAATTAACTAAGAAGGGCAAGAGGCTCTTAGGTAGGGAGATCTGCTGAGCTGGAGACTGGATGACCTAGGTGTCAACTCCTCTCATTTCTGCTCTGGAGAGCTATAAACATAGGGACTTATCAAAGACAACCCAGTGGGAGGTGATGGAGACACAGCACACACACAGGTTCTCAGGCTCTTTACAACACACATGCTGTAGGCCTAAACCAAACCTACGAGGGATGCTCAAGTACACTGTCCTTCCAAGAAGTTACCAAAACACCAGTCCCAGAGGAGAGGAATGAGAAACCCTAGCCACTGTGCCATCCTTCCCTGGAGCTTTTCTGAAACTGATTTCAGTGCACTGAGCTCTCCAGGAATCTGTATACCAGGCAGGCTACAACAGGCTGCTGGAGCCAAGGCAGAGAGGGTCCTGCCCCCTCAGCTCTCTGCTGGACCTCAAAGTGAGAGCTACCATGGCATCCAGAGTCCACCCTTCCCTTTCCCTAAGAACCACCTGACATGGGAAGAGCCCTGGTGCCAATCCTACCCACTCAGGAGGGTCCCATCACCATCCTGGAAGGCAGAGCAAGGCCTGTTTGCCCACAGCCGGATGAAATGAGTGACATGGGAGTGAGGGTGCCTTCGGCATTATCACCTCTCTAATGCCCACTTTCATGACCGTCTAAGTCCATCAATTTGCTGATCCCAAGTACTCGGTCACCAGCTTGTTACTACACAGGTGAGAACATGGAAAGATTAAGCTATAGGCCAGCATGCAAGCCTCCTGATGTTAGTAAGGGATGTGACTGAATAGTCGCCACCTGCCTCATCCCACATGGGACAGCCTTACAAACGTCCTACTTGATCCATCAGCATCTGGAATGCCCAGGAGGGACAGATTTAGAGTTAGTTATGGCCCACCTACAACCACCAAAGGACAGTCGGCTGTAGGCCACATAGAGCTGACAGTGCAAAGAATCACTCCAGGCAGTCTACAGGGTCTTCCAAATGTCATTCAAAGAAGATGTTGGCATCGCCATTTTGCAGGTAGGAAAACATAAGCTCAAAGTAAGCTGCCCCAGCCAGACCTGCTCCTCCCTGGCCTCCCAAGTGGGCGAGTGGCAGATGGCGACTCTGAGCATGTCTTGGAAGCACAAGAAGCACCGTGAATCCATGAGGTAAATGAACAGCCGCAACATTGCCCGTGTCACTCCAGACCCAGCACCCCCCTCAACAAAACAAAGCGACAAATGAAGTCGCTCAAGCACCCTCCCCACAATTGGTGTGCCACCATGGGCACAGTAGGGAGAACAGGCACTATACCGTCCGGCGTCGCCTGCTGATGGGGTTTTTTACATTTGACGTAATCGTGGTCAATCGGAGTGGCTGTGTAAGGTGGGGATGTCAGACCTGGGCCAGAGGAGGAGGGGAGGGAGGCTCCAGGGCCCGGCAGTGTCCCAGCTGAAGAGTGGGAGTCCTCATCCACCAGGCAGGCCTTCTCCCTGTGGGACAGAGGCACATATCAAAGTCTACACTATGATGAAATAAACACTCTACTATGGGCCAGCACCGTTCCCAGGGGCTGCTGCTGTGAGTTGGGGTCAGAGAAAGCAGGCCACTTCACCATGGAGCCTGGCACTTGGTAAGGGTTCTTCAGAGAACAAGCAGGAAGTCAGTGTCAGGGAGGGCATGCTTACACTCCTGTCCAGTCAGCACTTGAAATGACAAGGGATACAAGTTTCCCTTTTCTGAATTCTAACCCACAAAAGCAAGCAACCCACACTGAGGAGGCTCCTTCACAAGCAGCTGCGCCTTGCTTTTTTTGTTTGTTTGTTTGTTTTAAATTAAAGGAACCTGGAGGAGACTTCAGTGGTAGAACACTTGCCTAGCATGCACAAGGCCCTGGTCTCAATCCTTTAGTACCACAAAAGCAAAATAATCCTGCAATTGTATGTGAGCAAATAACTGTGTAAAAATATGCAGAAAACTATTAAGAGAAATTAAACTAATGGCCAGTTCTGGTGACAAGAGGAGACCTGTCACATTTCAGTCTATGCACGTGTGTCTGATTTCCTGGGACTACAATGTATTCACATACTGCCTCTCTATTTTTTTTTTTTTGGACAGAATTACAATCAATGAAAATTTCATTGTACCCTGGAAACCTTTTATGACTAGAAAACACCAGTCAATAACTTTTGAGCACACTGTGCCAACCTAAGTGACCTACCCCCAGGTGCTCATCTCTCCCACAGAAGAAACACTGCTTGTGCAGGGTTGTGCACTGTTGGCTGGAGGCGCAGATCATGTGACTACCTATAGCCATGAACAGAGAGTTCTTAGGGTCAGGCCTGGGAACAGGTTTCTCAGCTGCATAATCCTCAGCCAGGTGGAGTCTCGGAGATGGCATGCTTGTGTTGAATGGAGCAGTGGGGTAAAACATCACAGTAAAAGGTGTCTGGCCCCAAGACAACTTGTGTCAGGGAATGAGTGAGGAGACTGTGCCAGGCTCCTGCTTCCTGGCTCTCTCAGCACTGAGGCCAGAGAATAGGCCATACACTGAGCCTCAGAGGTCACCTAGCTGGAGTAAGAGGAAAAAGTCAAACTTAGCCTGTGACTAGGTTCTGCACAGAACAAAGCTTTGTTCCACTGGAAGGGGAGCAGGGCTGGCTTCTCCCCAGGATTCACCCTTGTTAGTACCACAGAGATTCAACAGAAATAGCTTGGCCCCGCAATCAGACTCTGAGTCCCAGTTTATCCAGAAGTCCTCCTCTGAGGGCTTCACTACAGAAGATGAGCCCCTGCAAGCCAGTACTCACTTTTCGGAAGCTTTGGGTGTATTCTTCTCCTCGCCCCTGGCAAAAGGTCCTTCTGCTGCCTCCTTCATAAAGCTGACCAGGACCTCCGCAGCAACCCCAGAATCAGGTTTGCCCAGGAGCTTCAGGATGGAAGCATGGAGCCGGAAGTACACCTAGAACAATACCTCAGGTATAATAAGCAGCCTTCTCCAACCTAAGGCCTGTTCCACAGGTGAAGCAGCTATATTGTAAACAGGCTGCTGCTGTCCCGAGAGACAAGCCACTACATGTTGCCTTATTAGCTTTTAACACCCTGTCCCCGGACCTTGCACAAATAAGCCCTGAAAATGAAAAAGGATACTGTCAACATTCTAACTTAAACGTGTACCCAGTAATCCAAGCACATGGTGATGGGGTAATGATAGTAGCAGCCAGTGGGCACTGCCTCAAGATCTGATGTAGCTCAGGCTAGCCTAAATCTTGCTATGTAGCTGCTGGTGGTGTAGCTGGAACTCTTGATCCCTGTCTCAACTTCCCAAGTGCAATATTTTTGTGTGTGTGATTACAAAACTGGCAAATATTAAAAGGAGGCTCTTAGACTGGCCAGAGAACCAAAGTGCTCACCGGTGTCATTCTCTGGAGTAAGCCAATGCCTTGGTCAGAACTGTAAGATGTCTACAATTCCACCTTTAAACCTCAGGCCCTGGAAACACTCCTAAGAGCTCTGACACAAGATGAGGGACGCGTACTTCCTCACACTATCCCGACAAAGTCCGTGAAGAGGCTGTTTAGGTAAGCAAATGCTTTGAGCAGCTGAAAGGCATGGCACAGGCAGGAGAGCTTTCCATCCCTTCTAGTACACCTTGTCTTATGAAAATAGGAGCTGCAAAAGCATAGGGCAGTGCTCCTACCTACACAGGGATAGGAAGGAACACCTAGACCTTCAAGGACATAGCTAGATTTTTAGTACAGATTATGGGGTGAGGATATGAGGGTCTCTGCGGACTTTCGTGTTTTATATTCTTGAGAATTTTATGACTCTCTTAAAAAAAAACAAATGAATACATATAGATTTTATAATCAGGGAAAGCAAAAACAAAACAAAAATCAAACAACAACAACAAAAACCCTGTGCCCACAGAAGCAGGAAAACAAGAAACAGGGTCTGCCTAAATCCTAGGATGTTCACTGGCCATGTGGGACTCGCAGGGTCAGCACTTGCAGCCTCTGGAAGGGTAAAGCTATCATGGTCAGGACCTTGGGAAGCTCTGAGTCCTGAGCTGAGAAAAGCATTACTGGGTTTCCACTGGTGTTCTTTGCTTCCTCACCTCTAATAAGGGTTTGCTAGGCTCCTGGTACTTCTAGGAACAATAAACAGTGTGAGCCTTCATCAACAGTATTCAAGAAATCATAAAAGTGAATCCTGGCAATAGAGCACTGCTCTAGTCTTGAGCAGCAGTGGACAAACACAACACAACACAATGTCCTGTGATCAAAGCAGCCTGCTTTTATCCTGGTTAGCCCAAGCACAGGCAGAGGCCTCACTTGGCCTGAGGTGTCTATCTGATCCTAGGGACAAGAGTGACCACCGTTTTCCTCCTGCCACACAACAGGTCTGAATGACTCTGCAGCTATGGATGTTGCACTGTAGGGTCAGTGTGAGAATGTGTAGGCTGTGAGTAAGGCTGTTTCCTCTGAGAAGTGAAAACAAAATGCCATCCTCTCCAAAAGGATGGCAAGCACTCTTAGGGAAAGAGAGACCAGGCTGCTTGAATGTAATTGAACATGAAGATGCTGAGCACAGAGATGTTACCAGTGGGGTTGCAAGGGAGTCACTGGGACTGTGAGCTCCATCCCCTGGGAGAAAGAGTGAGCAGACCCTCCTGCCCTACCTTCCTACCCTGGATCTGCCATGTTACCTCCAGGGCTTCCATGGCCAGCTCAGGCGGGTTGTGGTAGTGGATCTTCTTAGGGTAACGGGCAGCCTCCTCGTGCAAGTAGTGGCCAGCCTGCCGGTAGTGCAGCAGGTACACAGTTGGTGGTTGCTGCTGCTTCTCGGCCACCTTGCCCAGCATGTAGTGAATGAGCCATTCCTCCTCATCGCCATCGCCCTCACAGTGGGCTGCAGATGTGAAACAGTGTTTGGCTGTCTCCAGCATGCTGTCGCGCCGATCCTCCATCTATAACAAGATCACAAGCCTACAGACTGGCCTTAGGTGCAATGCCTGCACCTGCCCAGGGATCATGGTTTTCTTGGTCGAAGCCAGCTCACTTGTTCATAGAATTATGGTCCTTTCAGGAAACCTGAGACCCAGCACTGCTGTCACCATTTCACAGCTGTAGACAAGGAGATGTGGAACTTGGGAGTTCCTTAAAAGCATGCCAGGTCCAGAACTGGACTTAAGATTCAGGTCATTGCTCATCAACTCAAAGGTTCTTTCTTTTAGCTTCTTCCTGTAGCACCTAACAGTAAAGTTTGTGAAGTTCCTATTGACCTCTTTCTAGGTTCCCTATTACAGCCTGCATGGCTATGGTAAAGACTGGCACCCATCATCCATCAGCATAAGGAGGAAGAAGGCTGATGTGACTATGTCTCATCGGTCTTTAAAAAATCAGGTATCCTTTACAGAATGAAGCCCCAACTTCAGGGAGTGAGCGCCTTGCTCCACCCTCTCAGTGGGGCAGGCATGCAGCCCTTGCCCCGCAGCCCTGGAGAGAACCGCACCTAGTACCCAATCACAGCATTGGAAACCCAGTCACAGCATTGGAAACAGTGTGAACCTCTGGAGTAAAACAGCTTCCTGCTTCTCCTCTTTGCCCTTTCATTCTGAACCTGTAAAGGCAGATTCCTGAGCTCCATATGAGACACCCTGACTTGAGCTTTGGCGGAGCCTCTAGCCAACCTTTCACAAAGTCTGTGACAAGTCACGACAGAGGGTCAATTTGTTAGAGGCCTTCCAACTTAGTTGCTTTTTCTACTTCTTGGCAGCTGCCAAGCACACATGTTCCTTTATTTCAGAGCTTCCAGGCTGGGGACAGAGTGGAGAATGCTGTGTTTTGGGCATCCTAGGTCTCTGGTCCCTCTTCACTGTGCCCTGGCTTGATGGCAGGGAGGCTGTAGCTTCTTCCCAGCTCACCTCAGGGACCAGAGCAGGGAGGGTACACAAGCACTGGTGTTCAGCAAGGGAGCTTCTGGGGTCACAAGCACATGCTCTATCTCACATGGCACACCTGCCCTACTTATGTTTGCTCGACAGAGGCTTAACTTTCACGAACATTCTATAGCAATAGCTGACTTTGGGGGCTGTGTGCTACCCAGATGCTCTGCAAGACATTTTCTAAAAAGAAACTGGCCATCTAGAAACTACAAACGCATTCCTGAATGAATAAAAAGAATCACAGCACAGGGCCAAGCATGGCACAGGGATTCTATCACATTCAGGGCCTCTGAAATGGGCCCTAAAGCAAATATGTCTAAGGAAAAGGCAGCTGCTTAAATGTAGTTCTGTTTGAACTGCTTAACAGCTGTGTGGCATTGTCAATGTCCCTGTTTTTGTTAATTCAGCAGGTGCAACATCCCACGGGAAGAAAAGGGACAGTCACCAAGCGTGTGTGTCTAGAAGCTCTGCCACTAGACTTCATTCTAGTGCCATCCTCGGAACAGATTGGATACCCTTCCTCATGGCACTTCAGTCTTGTGCTGGGCTTAGGGAATGGCTGAGGCAGGCATCATGACTGACCTCTCCAATGCTGCCTGAGAGAACGAATGGCCATCTTTATATGTAGCCTGAAGCACAGAGAGAACATTAAGTCACTCCCCACAAGTCACTTGGTTAGGAAGTTCTGGTCCCCAGTTCTTTCTCCTGCCCTAGAAATGACATCACAGGGAATGTTTCCACTTCCCTCATCACCTCTGGCAAGTCTGCAGGTGAAAACTAAAGAGTCCAGGAGCTCAGATACATCAAGCATGTTCAAGCCCATTTCTCAGACACGGTAAGTCTGGACATAGCTCAAGCAACCAGGGGACTGCATCCTAGGAAGCTGCCTCCTCTGAGGTGGAAAGAGTCCAGGGAACACAGGACAGTCATGCAGGGCAGTACATGCCCCAGATAAGGAGGCCAAACCTATCCCTTCCCTCAGGGCTCCTGCATCCCTGGGCGTTCTAGCCCCTCTGGCAGTCCTGATACTTAAGGGAGGCAGAAGGCCTGAGAGCAGTTTCAGGATCTGAGCTGCCTGGGATAACAGGGGCCATCAGGCAAACACCATGGTCATCTAGAAGCTGTGAACTTGGGTAGAAGAGAACCAGACCAGGGGAAAAGGTGGGGGGATGTCAAGTCCACCTGTGGGAGTTGTACAAAAAGTGCAGAGAGGTTCCTCCTGATTCTCAGAATGTATATTTCCTGGAAAGTGTTAAGTGTGAAATTTCACCAAGATCAGTACAAGGAAATTAGGGGAGGGACACCTTACCTCACTATGTGTCCTTGCAGGATAATTGTGTTCCTAATGTTACAAGGCCACCCATGGAGTCAAGTTCTATAGCAGCAGGTGGAGGGGGATCAGAGGCCATTGAAACACAAACAAATGCCGTAAGTTGTTTCTGTACTGTCAGCTAAGGGACTCTACTACACTCAGGATCTCTGTGAGTTCGAGACCAGCCTGGTCTACAGAGCGAGTTCCAGGACAGGCTCCAAAGCCACAGAGAAACCCTGTCTCGAAAAAAAAAAAAAAGTAACCTGAGAAGGACTCAACAGTACAAGCGGAGGAGAAAGGGAAGCCACACACTGCATTTAATAGAACAGTATGTAGGCTGAAAGAAAAAATCAAACAGGCAAATCCTCCTAGATTCTCCTATACACACTTCATGTGTGTAAAAAAGGTTTTGTTTCCTTTTGAAGTCTAGAAAGACACAAATTGAATAAAAGTGTCTTAAAGAAGGTGATGCTTAGTTGAGAGCCATGCAGCACTTCCCCACTGTATTCTTGTCAGGGCTCAGCCCTGTGGAGCTGTGATATCTGCCGCCTGTTAGCAGTGCACTGGAACCTACTATGTGTCTATGCCTCTAAGGCCACTGCTCTCACATATCCGCCACCGGTGTCAAGTCTATCCCTCTGATGTCACATACAAACCATTGGAGAAAAAAATTAAGAAAATAATAAAGGAAAACATAATAACCACACAGGAGCTTACAAAAAGCACAGCTGTCTGAGAGTTCCCGTGTGTCCTTTTAACAAGCGTCACACCCATGCAAGAGACCAGTCACATATGGGAGTCACTATTCTCACTCATCCGTAGAGTTCACACAATCTGGACACTGAAGGAAGGAAAACTTTGGGACCAAATTGCTGAGAGTCTAGAACCCAGAGGCCAACTCCTGAACTGAGGGACTGTAGTGTCCCAGCACAGAGGAGGAAGGTGACATCATTGTGGGAGACCTCAAACAACAGCAGCAGTAAAGCCTAGTGTTGTGCTCCCAGCCTGCCACACTCCTGAGCTTTTGTGCACAAGGATTGAGAACTAACACAGTTGGCCACTGCCTGTAAAGAGAAAACTCCCGAAAGGCACAATGAATTCAAACTCCCAGGGAAAGGGAGGCAGCTCCCAAATAAGTCTACAAAAGCAGCTTTCTAAATTTATGAGGCAGAGGTGAAAGGTGTGTGTCACATGATCATATAACTGATAGAAAGTTGAGCTCTCCAAGAGTCACGTTCTCGGCATTGTCAAGGTTCTAGTTACATAGATTCAGGAGACATTTCACTATTAATTTTTTCATAGAGCCCAATGACATCTTTTATCCACTACTTATTACAGTAACTCAGTCCTCATTAGCAGATGGACTTCATGACTTCCCCGGGGCTGAGGTCCTCAAACAGTGGCCTTGTATTCACTGTAGACTGTTAGGGCCACCTCTAGTGGTGAAATGTACTGCTGCATCTTCACCAGGCTTTCCAATATCATCTGAAGAGTTCAAAGGCTCTGAGAGCCCGTGTCTTACTCTGCAAGGTCTTGAAGGCAGTAGGGGCCTTGGCACAAAGTCAGTCCACCCACAAGGAGACAGCGCTTTCAGAGGACTGCAGTGGCATCTACCAAGGGTCTCCTCAGCCCTCCAGCAGTGTCACAGCACTGTTAGCATCATCTTGCCCGGGTTTTAATCACAGACAATCAGTGCAAAACCTGAGACCAAGTACTGCCTGATTGGTCAGCGCCTTCAACACCTTGCTCTGCTCTGCGACCTTTTTGAGCTGCGACACCTTGTTGTCCTGCCGTCTCACTTTGCTAGCGTGAGGGTAACTCTGTGGCAGTGTGCGTTCAGCAGGCATAGGACCTGGGTCTGACCCACAGCACCCTTCACCCCTCCCTAAACAAACCCTAAACATGTCAGTATGACTCCTCCATTTCCATCTGAAGGGACGACCGTGCTCTTGCTGAGCAGTGACTGCAGGTCAGGTCCTGGATCTTGCACTAGAGACGACACACACCAAGAAACTGAAAACCCTAATGCCAGGTAAGGATTTTACCATGGCCCCAAAAGTCCTTTGGAGCAAAAAGGGAAGAATGTCTACTTCAGATGTCCAACATCTCCTCTCTACCACTCAACTACACTCAAGCTGACAGAGTAGTTTACCTCTGAAATTCCTGCCAATGGACTAGGGTGTAATGGATTAATAAAAATTGCTGCGGATCCCCAAGTAGCTGCAGTGGCAGAAACACTGCAGGTTCCTGGAGTGGCGACAGGCAGTAGGTCATGGGGTGTCAGGCAGGGACCATGCTGCAGCGAGGCCCATGGCAGTGGCAGGTGAGGGACAGATGGATAGGCATGCCATGCAGAGTGAGGATATTTATTTAGTGGTTATGGAAGGGAGGGGAGAAGGGGGGAAGAGCAGAGTGGGAAGGAGGGAGAGAGGGAGAGAGAGAAAGCGAAAAGAGAAAGAGTGAGAGAGAAGAGAGAAGTGAGAGAAGGGAGAGATGGAAGCTGCCTCTCCAAGAGGGAGACAGAAAAGGGAGAGAACTCAGGCTGGAAGCTGAAGATCAGCCTGTCTCAGCAGATGGGGGAGGGAGTGGGCATGGCTTGTCTCTTAAAGAGACAGAACAATCATTACACTAGGTACCCAAAGACCAAGAACCAAGTTATTACTAAGTAGGATACATGTGTGTGAGGGTAAGAACAAGGGCCCCTAGCAGTCTAGCTAGAGGACTGCAAGCCCTTCGGCAGCACCCTTCTCACCTGCTGTACAAGCTCCGGAGGCAGCTCGGCTCTCCACTGCTTCAGCTGGCGGGAAGCAAATGAGTGTAAGGCATAGGACATGGTGCCATACTCAATCCACAAGGACAAATTAGAGCTGTCAATCTCGAGGGCCCTCCGGAAGCAGTTCAGAACAGGTGTGGCATGTTTCCAGATGGGTCCATCGCTCTTCAGTTCATTGGAGTTCAGCTTGTCCTGAATTCGGCTGGCCCGGGCCAGAGCCATGCCTGCCCAGGAATCGAACCTAGGGTAGTAAGGAAAGTGCCAGCTAAAAACACTGCTGTTCCAAGGGCATGGCAGTCAGGCAGACATTGTGGGAGTTCTGCTCCACACATGGCTCAAAGCCCAACTCAGTCATTCTACAGTCTGGGTCATGACCTCTCCTTGTCGTGGCCTTGCTCCCTCCCATCAGTACATGTATTTAATGCATGAGGATGGAGGATGGTGTGCCAGGAGACAAATGTTCTTCTGTGTCCCTTGGCAAGCAGCCGATGACTGCTCTTGTAGATGGGCTTTGGGGCTCTATTCCCCAGCAGTAAAGGGTTGCCCAGGGCATTGCACTGGTGGAAGGCAACAACACTCCCCAAAAGCCTCACAGGGTCCAGCTGAGGCAATTACAATAAAAAAAAAAAAACCAACAAACTTATTTCAGTGTCCTTTCCTCCTGAGGCTCATATTTTCACCAAGCAGGAACTCAGGGAACAGAGAAGCATGGGCCCCTGCCACTCAGTTTATTCCTATTGTCTCTTGGATCCTATTTATTCTCTCAGCTCAGATCCCTGCAATAAAATGAACAAGATGGCAGGTAATGGCTGGGACAAGATGGTTCTGAGACCACCTGAGAGAAGCTAAGGCAGGAGAACACACAAGATTCTGGGAGAAGATGAGTAGCCATGGAGATACTACACCCGGACAGAGGTGATTTCTGAGTTCCTGCAGAGCTGTTTACTGAGTGCTGGTCCAGAAAACAGAAAACGCAGCAACCAAAAGAGCTAGGGCTGCCCTGTCGAATACACCATCAGTTCAGCCCACCACACCTTTACAATACCCGGTGTGAGTTTACGCTGGCTAACTGTTGTCTGGAATTGTCTGATCATCCCAAGAGATGGCAAAGGCAAATAAACCCCATGAGCCCCCAAAGTGCATTCACTGTCCTCCAACCAAAGATGGCACCATGTAAACAAAGGAGCAGAAGAGACACCACAGACTCAATGGTGACAGAAGGACAGCAAAGATGGAGGCTTCACCCTTCGTGTGAGAGGCTTCTGACAGTAGCCTTTCTTCCTCACAGGTCTGGAACCCAAAGCAACCATTTCTTCCCTGGCTCTGCTCAGCCTACTCTGGAGAAGGGAATGGGGGAGGAGGGCTTAAATCGCAAATTCTTCACCAGGGACAATTTCACAACAGGGATTCTTTTCCATATCCAACATCTCTGAGAGAAGTTACTCTCACCTCGAGGAAAGAAAAAGTTGTGACAGTCCTGTATGGCGGCACGAGAACCACTTCCTCTCTACACAAAGCAACCAGTGCAGAGAGGCATCACCATGAAAACTCAGAAACAGGCTGGAGTGATAGACAACTCAGTAGTTAAGAGCACTTGCTGCCCTCCAGAGAACCTGGGTTGAGAGCCCAGCACCCACATGGCAGCTCACAGCCATCTGTAATTCCAGTTCCAGGGGATCTGATGCTCTCTTTTGGCCTCCAAATGCACCAAGCATACATATAACACAGACATACATGCAGGCAAAACACCAACTTACTTTTAAAACACACAAATAAACATGTCCTTGTCCTCCTGATGTAAGTGTCTGATTCAGGCACAACACTACACAATCCATACTCTGGGAGTGAAGGCCTCAGGGATGCCTGTGACCCCAGGAGGAAGAAATATCTACAGTCCGCATATTAGGTTCTCATTTGTGCAGAGCAAGTTCAGTCCTGGTGCTGGGCTTAGAGTTGTTTCATGCTCAGCAGAACTAGGTCCTAGCCCCACTTCCATCAGAAAATGGCTGTCTAATTTGATACCTCTTCCAGTTCAGAAAAAAACAGGAAAGCTCAATCAAAGAGAAGGAAAACTGCCAGTCGACCCTCAGGAACCTCCATCGATATAATCAGGGCCCTATTGTCTACCCAGCCACCTACCATGGTCTTCACCCCTCTCAAAAGGCATCAAGGAAGAATTCAAATATCCAAATTTGTACTTCAGCTAGTACCAAGGACCAGGTGGAACCCCAGTCTCCACTGGTATCTGCCTGTGGAACTCAGAGTAAGAGCCCCAGAAGGGGCAGACAAGGAAACTTTAGGATGGCTCACTGGAGAACTGGCTGAACTAGAGACAGCAGACCTCCTGGCAGCAACCTGGCTCCACACACTATCACCCACCTGTTGGGGCAGATGCAAATATCGTGCATGTAGAACTTGATGGCTTTAGACTGCTCCTTGTTTTTGAAATGATAATCAGCCAGGAGGTAGTAGAGCTCATTCACCACCGGAGGAGTGGGATCTGCCCCTTCTGGAAGGCAGGGCACCTGGCACGAGAGAGGGCAAGTTTAGGAGAAGAGGTGGAGTCCTGTGCAGGTATAAACTGTCAGTTGGCTTGCTCTGATCTCTAGCAGCTGGTGCTGAGCAAACAAGCAGCAGAGCTTGAGAGGAAGCCCCCCCCCCCCCCCATGTTCCCTGAGACCCACCTCGGTGGAAGTTCCCTCAATGTAGGCAGAGACTTTCTCCATGCTCAGGACTGGCTTCTCTGTGCGGGGCACGATGGTAGCAATTCTTTTCAGCAGGTTAGCCAAGTCAGCAGAAACAGTGCTGGTCTTGTAGCTATCAAATTCAGGAAGGGTCTTGGGCTTAAAATACTCAAACATAAACAGGGCATCCTCCCATATAAGATCCACCTGAAAAAGACAGATGCAGACTCAGCACACTCACGGTTAGGAAACAAAGTGAAGTTCCTCTAGAGGAGCTCAGTGCAATGAGGTCACAACGTGTGGTGAACAGAGCACGCTCCCCACTCCACTCCTCTAACCTACAACGGGCAGGCAAGCCTCCGTTCCAGCAGCCTAAGAAGACAAAGTCATTTTTTTTCTGGGTAGGTATAAGTCTCAAGTTTCCCGAGGATATCACTGCACAGAATTATGTTATTAGTGTTAAGGTTATAACTCTCAAACAGAAATATTTAACTTTCTTAGTGAATGGGAGTAAATGATAAGACAATTTTATGTTAAATATTAAGGTTTTAGTACTATTAGCCAAAAAATAATTTTTATAATTTTATTATACTTCACGTGTCTATGTATATTGCCACATATGTGCAGGTATCCATGTAAGGCAGAAGAGGGTATTAGATCCCCTGGAGAAGGAATTAAAGGTGACAGCCACCTGTTGGAAATTCTGGAAACCAAACTCAGGTCCTCTGCAAGAGCAGCAAGTGTCCTTAACTGTTGAGACAACTGTCCACTCACCTCCTTACCTGGATCCCACGTAGTCTAGGCTGGCCGTGAACTCACTATGAACTTCTAATGATCTTGCCTGCACCTCCCAAGGGCATGCTCTACCACACCTGGTTTTACATGATGCTAGTAATAAAACCCAGGGCTCCACCTTTGCTACATAAGTGCTCTACCAACCGAACTACATCTTCTGCCTAAGAAATGTCTTTTAGGATTCATACCTGGTTAGAGCTAGTCTCTAAAAAACCAAATATTGAAAACTGAAGGTTATGATCTGTGAAATCATGGCCAGGTTGGGGGTGGGGGTGGGGCGTCAATCATAACTGCGAAGCTTAGGCTCACACCTCTGGGCCAGAATAGACGTGCCATTCAAACGAGTCTATACATTAAGGTATAGAATACCTAAGACTGGACAGTGGCTGATGATATAAGCCATGGCATAATGTACCCAATAGTGTTCTGGGGAGAACAAATCAAAAAGAAAAATATGTATGGAATTATGAGTGTAATCCAAACTGCAAATGAACCTGGTAACAACGAGATGTCAATCAATTACATGTTACCTCCTATAGAAAATCCCTCTCCTTTGATCAGCCATCAGACCATCTCAGAGAACTGTGTGTAACAATCTCATGTCCTACAGGAGCTCTCCTCTACCTGAGAGCTGCCTCTCCCTGGCCTGAGCAGCAGGCTCACCTGCTGAGCCGAGTGTTCCTCCAGGTATCTGGCCTTGCTCTTCTTGCTGGGGAAGCTGTACAGGCAGTAGAAACACTGCTCCAAGGCAGTCTCCAGCTCCTCCTTGTAGGGGTGAGTGTCTTCAGAGGCAGATGCAGCAAGTTCCTTTTGGAGGACTTGTACCTATGGCAGGTGGAAAGAGAGACCTACAGATTCAGCCTCCCAGTCAGAGCAAGACCCCAGGGGGACCACCACTTTATCAACTCTTTTAACCTGAGGAGGTAATGCCTGGGGTCCCTAGATTACAAAGACTTGCTTCCAAGAAAAGACTTGTTATCTTTATAGAACTGCTCTGGGTGGATCTGGCAGTAGGCTCCATCAAGGCGTGTGAGCTGCCTGACTTCAGCACACCTAGCCAGCATCTACCACCACCATTAGATACGCTATGCCCAGGCAACGTCCCCACCCATTTGCTAAGTGTGCATTTACTGAGCAGCTTCTTTTATGTGGCACAGTCTGAAGTAGATCCTACTTTTTAAAAGTTCAGATTCCAATGGAGAAACGGTGCTAAATACTTACAGACAACAACTCTAAGTCCCACAAGGGCTGAGGAAAATCTCCTCCAATAAAACATCACCGAGAGGGGCTGGAGAGATGGCTCAGAGGTTAAGAGCATTGCCTGCTCTTCCAAAGGTCCTGAGTTCAATTCCCAGCAACCACATGGTGGCTCACAACCATCTGTAAAGAGGTCTGACGCCCTCTTCTGGCCTTCAGGCAGACAGACAGAATATTGTATACATAATAAATAACTAACTAACTAAATAAATAAATAATATCACCGAGAATCAGAGGAGATATCAATACAGCAAACCAGTTATATCTCAGGATATGAAATGTTATGACTATATTTATACCCAACTGTCGATAAATATGCATACTTCAAACCTCCATAAATCTTGGCAATACTAGATGAAAAGTGAATTTATCTATATTTATTTATTTTGCATCAAGCATTTAACCCACTGAGCCACTTCCTAAGCTGAGAGCGCTCGCTCGCTCTCTCTCTCTCTCTCTCTCTCTCTCTCTCTCTCGTATCTCTGTGTAGCCCTAGAACTAGCTCTGTAGACTAGGCTGACCTCTAAGTTACAGAGATCTGCCTGCCCTCTGCCTTCCAAGTGGTGGATTAAAGGCATGTACTCTTTTTACTTAAAGGGAAGGGAAAAGCATAAACAATGTTAGCAATAAAAAAGGGAAAATTATTAGAAGTACCTAGAAATGTTTTAAAAAATAAATTTAACACCAAACTGATTTATGCTAGTTTTTGTTTGTTTGGGGTTTTGTTTTGTTTTTCAAGACAGGATTTCTCTGTGTAGCCCTGGCTGTTCTGGAATTTGCTCTGTAGAGATTCTCTTGCCTCTGCCTCCCAAGTGCTAGGATAAAAGGTGTGTGCCACCACCACCAGGCCACTTTACAATAGTGGAACATTATTCCAAAAAGTTTCACTTAAGAAAAAAACAATCTAGAATCAATAAACAATCAGAATTAGCAGTAGCTAAACTTTACAAATAGAAAGACCAGATCCAGGGTGGGAGAAAGGGAACAACAAATGATTGGCCGTGTGTCAGATCTCAAGACTGTTAGTTTGTTTATGAGTTAAGAATAGGGTACTCAAAGTTAGGGGTGAAGGTAAGAGGGGAGTGGAGAGCAGGGATAGGAGGTGACTGTGATCAGACTACACTGTGAAATCCTCAAAGAAGTAATACAAATGTTATAAAAACAGCATTTACATTTTGAATGCCTGAAATAAATCAGAAGAAAACGATTTTGTAGCCTGGCATAAACCTGAAATTCCAGCTACTCAGAGACTGAGAAGAAGAGGTCAAAACTTCAAGGTCTGCCTGAGTTAAATTCAAGTTGCCAGTCTAGGTAACTCAGGGAAATCCTGTCTCAAATAAAAATAAAACAAGGCTGGGGTATACCTCAGTGGCAAAGACTTGCCTAATATGCACAAGGCCCCATATTCATTTCTAATACCACTACAAAAAAAAACTATTTCATAATACAAAAAAGGAGAGAAATTCAACTTTCATCTCCACAAGTTTTATTGCCTTTGCACTACAGCAGGAGTCTGGGGAGTTGCAGCAGAGACTCTCAATGCCCACAAACCCAGAAAGTGCATGCTTTAGTGACAGAGTGTACCATCTGTGACCAGGTGTTAAGAGAATAAAAAGAGAACCACAGAGACTGAAAAGAAGGGAAATAATAAGGAATCCACAGACTAATCATTTACATAGAAAATCCATCAAGCCTCAAAACCATTACAATTTACCAGAAACCAGGAACAAGAAACCAAGGACCTATGTGTAAGAGAACTTCCTTTTCAAAATGTTCCTGTATTTCTACAAAACAAAATGAAACAAAATTAAATGTAAATATCAACTTGTAATAGGAATTTCTTTTTTAAAGATAAGTAGGGTTCAAAGTATAAACCATATGCCTACCAAGCACAAGACCTTTTTGGATCCCCAGAACCACACACAAAAATCTAGGATTCAAGAAAAATGTGCATAATTGAATTAAGAAAAAGGAACATGTAAGGCTGAAATAAATAAGAAGACATATTATGTTCATGACTAAATAATTCAATTTGGGCACTTCTCTTCCAAATTAATCAACAAGACCACTGATTCCAATCAAAATTCCAGGGAGGGCACGGTTTCCTTAAATCTTATACACTGATCTTACAATGTTATAGAAGAAGGAGCCAAGAACAGCCAAGAGAATATGATGGAAATAAAGGTAAGTAGAGAAATTCTAGCAGTTATCAGACTATCAAAGAAACTGTGGTGCTGGCACAGGGGTAGAAAGGCTGCGAGCATCAATACAGACAGCCTAAGGATAACCTCCTCGCACTCACAAGAGATGAAGGAGAATTAGGTGTAGCAAGAAAATTCTTTAATAAAGAGCTCAAACCAGCTGGCCATCCATGTAAAATGTGAAACTGGTCCTACCTTGTCCTACAAACAAACAAAAAATCTACATGGAATGGAGAACACATGTGACAACAAGCCAGGAGAAACCTTTATAAATGAGATGGATTGTGTGTGTTTCTGCTGTGGGACAATGGTCTAATACCCTGTCACTTGTATTTTAATGAAACACTGATTGGCCAGTAGCCAGGCAGGAAGTATGGGTGGGGTGACCACTGCTCACATCCCTAGAGATGCTTCAAACTGCAGGACAGGAAGGTTTTGTTTGATCTCAGCCAGCTGCTGAATAGCAGAGAGACACAAACACAAGCTGCACAGTGCCAGGAGCAGGTGGCACAGGGTAGGGAGAATGGGGAAAGCCTCTTGGAAAAGGTACGAAGAAAAGGGAGTGAGTTGTGCAGGATCCAAGGAAAGCAATTTGGTAGGGAATCTGAGGACTCTCAATGGGTCCTGGGTAAGAAACTTAGGAACTGGAAACAAACATAGCAGCACTTGTCATTTGTCTCTCAATTCACCTGGCTTATGAGATTCAGCGTTCAAGAGACACAGACCAGGGAAACCTGGGAAGAGGACGATACACTGGCCCTTTGGCCTACTCTTCCCTCTCACATTACTCCCCAACACAGACAGCCTGCAAAGGTATCTGTTCTTTTCCTCCTTGTACATATGATGTGTGTGTGTATTATGAATATCAGCATGTGTATGGTTTCACCTGTATGCATGAGTATCTTTGTACATGTGTGCAGAAGTCACAGGTTGACATGGGAGTCCCTCCTCAATTACTTTCTACATTATTCACTGAGGCAGACAGGCAAGCTCTCAACTGAACCCAGAGCATGACAATACAACTAGTCTAGCTAGTCAACTTTCTCTGGGCAGTCTGTCTCTGCCTTCTAAGCACTGAGATTACAGGCAGGCTGCCATGCCCAAGGGCACTTATACAGTGTGCTGGCTAGTTTTATGTCAAGTTGACACAAGCTAGAGTCAGAGAGGAGGGAGCCTCAATTGAGAAAACGCCTCCATAAGATGCAGCTGTAAGGCATTTTCTTAATTACTGGTTGATGTGAGAGGGCCCAGCATACCTTGGGTGGTACCATCCCTGAGATGGTGATCCTGGGTGCTCTAAGAAAGCAGGCTGAGCAAGCCAGTAAGTAGCACCCCTCCATGGCTTCTGCATCATTTCCTGCCTCTAGGTTTCTGCCCTGCATGAGTTCCTGTTCTGACTTCCTTTAGAAATGGAAATATAAGCCTTTATTTAAATAAACCCTTTCCTCCCCAACTTGCTTTTGGTCATGGTATTTCATCATAGCAACAGTAACTCTAAGACACAGGTCCTGGGGACCTGAACTCAGGAACTCATCCTGTACAGAAATTACTGAGCCATGTTCCCAGGTTCTCTGCATGAGAGCTGCCTGAGGAGACCTCCTAGAAGCAGTGTCTGTGCACTTGGGTAGAGGAATGAGGGTAGTGGCTGATTTCTGCATAGCAATGCAGACTTTGCGAGCTGTCACGCGCATAGAAAAGTTCCATACACTCTTAGTCTCCTTCAGCCCTGTGATAGCCAATTTTGGCTGTCACCCTGACCACATCTAGAATCAGCTAAAACCCAAGCTGCTAGGCACTCCTGTGAGGGATTGTCTTAAGCGGATTAATGGAGGTTGGAAGACCCACCCTAAATCTAAGCTATATGTTCTGGTGGCAGCCAACATAAAAGGACATGGATGAAGGAAGCTTTGCTTCTTGACACCAATCTTGTTGGCAAGTTCATCTATCCTGAGGTATTATGTAAAATAAATAAATTTATTTTTAAAAATTCTAGTTTCTTCAGGATTTCAACACAGACTGAAAACCAGCAGCTCTCCAGGAATCTTCTGGGATTCCAGCATCAGACTGGGATTGTTGGGCATCCAACCTCATGAACTGAACAGTTACTGGATGCTCAGCGTTTCCATTGTGAGACAGACATCACTGGACTACCCAGACTATATCCTGTGAGTCAGTCTACTAAATCTCCTCTAGTATCAGTTCCATCAGCTCTGGTCCTCTAGAGCCCTACTCACACAAACCTGCACTAATTTAGTGCCAGGTGCTGTATTAAGCACTTGGATTCAGCAGCGAACCAAGTGAACAAAAATACCTACTCTCTCTGAATTTAACACCAGCAGAGGAAAGTCAAATAATAAACATAATATGTAAATTATGGAGTATGCTAATAGGTGGTAAGACTGTTCTAAGACGGGGCAAACTAGGGAGGCACTGAGGAGGAAGGCTGCAGCTGCAGAGGATATACCCACCAAACACAAGTTACCCAGCAGAAGACAGCAAGCTTTTTAAAGGGCAAAGAACAAAGATTTTAGGCCTTTCAAGCCATACAGACTTACAGTTTCTTGTCCTTATCAATGCATAGTAAAAGCAGTCATAATTGCTACGTAAATAAATGCCCCAATAAAACTTTATTAGCAGGTATACAGGCTGGACTAGATGTCTCTTCCTTGGTACATCTGAAAAACCTGATGCACTGTAATCAGTCTGGTGTTAACTGGCCTCCTACTCAGTGGAAACTGGGTCCATGCTGCGTATCTCCAATAAGCCCAGAGCTACCACCAATCAGGCCCAGTTGGCAGGCTCAAGAAGACTGTCCCCAGTGCTGTAATAGCTACCAACTGAACAATCAGGACTTGTGTGCTTTCATCATGATGTATGCTAAAGGCTCTAAGATAATGGGGTCAACTAACTCAAATCTTTGAAACCATGAGCCAGAAGAAACCTTTACTCCTTTAAAGATGATTAGCTCATGGGTTTCGTCACAGTGATAGAAGAAGAAATAAAAAAGTCACAGGAAGCAAGTTTAGATTTTCTTCAAGTTTCTTCAATTACACACACGTATTAATCAAAGACCCACAATGGGAACCCCTACAGGAAGACAAACACAAGCGCAAGGGAACCACCAGGGTTCTGTCGTCTTTTCCACTTGCCCCAACCCCGTACTGTCAGCCTATGACCCAGGAGGATCACTTACGTAGAATCGCAGCAGCGCCCCATCTGAATTGCAGCACCAGGACCTCCTGCCCAAGTATTCATGTGCTGTGTTGAGCAGCATGAGGGAAGATGGGAGCATGGGCATCTCCGACATCCCTGGGAAAGGTCGGACCAACAGACAATCAGTGCAAACACTTAGTGGCAAAAGGACTGCATCCATGTCTCATTTTCTCTTTTCTCTCTCTGTCATATGACCAGACGGTTCTCTTTCCTTTTCTGTCTAAGTACTTAACTGGTTTTAATAAGCAATCTGTTTATCAAAAATCAACTGAAATCATATAGAAAAATGTAAATGAGGGCTTCCCTCGAAAAACAGAACTGCCCTAGCACCCGAGAACCAATACTAGCATCTGCTGCACATCACTCAGAGTACCTCCTGTCTTTTCAAAGAGAAGGACAAGTTACAACAGACCACACACTACATGAACAAATTCTGAAAACTCTCACATTTAGGTTTACTTGAATACTGCAGAAGGGAAAAAAACTATTAACTTGCCATTAAATGTTTGTTCACCATTAAATTATTATTAGTTCCTTAAAAAGCCTCAGAATTTTTGAAACTCTGGACCATATATAAGCCATGAGCACCTTTTAACTGGCTCTTTGCGGGGGTGGGAGCAAAGTAAATTAAAAGAGAACATTTTAAAACAGAAAACACCAGATGGCATTGCACACAACTACACATAGCTTAAATGTCTTTTACAAAAATTTACGACTGGTCAATCCCTCAACAACAACAACAACAAAAAAAGTAACCCCCCCCCCCCCCAAAAAAAATCCCTTCAGGTAATAAAGGCTCAAACCATTCCAGACATTGTGGGTTCTTTAGTTTCCTTTTTTTAAGGCCTTATTTTTTATTGTGTATGTGTGTCTGTGTCTGCCACGTGTGGAGTACCTATGGAAGCCAGGGTGCTCTGATCTGCAGTTACAGGTGGCTGGGAGTCGCCTACATGGGTATTCTTTAAAATGATGAGTTTTCTGCCACGCAAAAACTGCCTCTCATTCCTTAAAGCTACAGTTTTAACTCCCCGCATGTCCACAGAGGTAGAAGAGGAAGCTGAGCGGGGGGGGTACCGGCCCCCCTCCCCGAGATTTCCCTTTGATAGGACTTGCCATCTCCAGCTGTCAGCTCCTTCAGTGTCTACAACAGCTGCAGGACTTTTTGAGTCCACACACGTCCACGAGCCCCCATCCAGTGACTACACGAGACAGCACGACAGCTCTCCAAAGGCTCTGTCACTTCAGAGTCCCTGATAGCCTAGCCAGGGTCTGTCGGCCAGCACCACAGGCTAACTTCTCCTGGCCAATCCTGCTGCTACTCCAATCATTTTACAAGCATGGTCCATTTTGAGAAACTCAGCTCATAAAAGGTCTCTCACTACTCAGCCAGAAATGTACTTAATCCTGAGCCACGCCCTTGGAATTAAGTCTGGTCATAGGAGGATAGAAGTACCCCCTTACCCTAACTTCCTCTAAAAAGGCCAAATAGTTCTGGAGCATGTCTCCATTATTCAGCTCTCCATAAATGGGAAGATATTGGGATTTTGTCCCAGAATTTGATCACCTCCCATCCCTCAGTCCACAGGATGGGGGGAAGAGACAGCACCATGCCTGCCTGTCCACAGAACATGTCTATTCCTCCCTGGGCCATGATGCTTCAGCTGAGGGTGCTAATTCCTCTTGTTTACTTACCTGCTCACAACTTGATTGTTTTTCTTTTCTTTGCTTTTCTGAAACATGATCTCTCTATGTAGCCATGGCTGTCCTTGCTAGACTAGACTGGTCTCAAACTCAGTCACAGAGATCTACCTGCTTCTGCTTCCCAAGATGCTGGGATTAAGTGTGCATGCCACCATGGCCAGCATTTTCCAGTAGTAGAGAAAATTCTTTGGTATGCATAATTAACTTTCATTTTTATAAGAAAAATAATAACCATTTATAGATATACATTTTTCACTAGTAAAGTCTTTTGAGAATACAATTTAGTACTATTTGTCAAGAGTTCTACAGACATTCATTACTAGAAATTTATACTTTTAAAAAAAAGTGAGCAGCAACAAAAGGGTCTCCATGATCTGTGGATACCCATAGCATGGCCTCTAAGAAACAAATACGACAGTGCCCCAGAGGCTTAAGTGTGACAGCTCACTAAAGAATGTGCCTACTCACAATACCTACATAAGGCCTCAGGGACCTACCACACAGAGCAGATAAGGACAGGCATTAGCCCCATGCCTCCAAACCTGGTGATGACACACCTTCCTCTGCCGGGTTCTGGAGCTGCTGTTGGTGGCACAGGGAACGGAAGGTGTCTTCTTCCTGCCAGATAATCCTGTGCAAAATGATCCAGGGCAGCACTGAGGAAACATAGGGCTCCTTGGGCTCCTCTTGTACAGCCATGCTGCAGTCAATGACCTGGCAAAGGGCACCAGCAGCATGTCAGCCTCCCCAGACCCCCTGAAATGAGCCTAGATTGCAGTGCCTTCTGGGAGAGGCAAGGTATAACATCTGCCTACCCCTACAGCTTTAACATGGGAACACTGACCTAGCAGTACCCAGTTTATCATCAGACAGTCCCACAATGCCCAATGACATGCTCTTTCCTTGTGCCACATGCAACTACTGACTGTGGCAAGGGGAGCTAACAGTCCAGGGGAAAACAGGCCTGGAGAAACTACTGAGTCCGGTGGGCATACACAGATGCTACCATGAAAGCAGGAGCAGCAGCAGGGGTCTCAGGTAGAGAGTGATCAGAGACAAGCCCTTGAGGTGTCCAGGTAAATTACTGTGGTATGTCCAACACTGAGGGCAATGCACGAGGGCAGAGGACACACTCACAGGCAAGGATCCCAGAGGGTGGTCCAGAATAGCTTCAGCCAACAAAGTAAAAGAGGAGCAGCAGGTTGGGGATCAGTGCACTTTGATACACTACCCAGTCAATATGTAAAGGGTTCAGGGAATGAGAAGACAGTCATATTTCAGCGTTTAAAAGGTGCCTCTGTGGCAGAACAGTAGCTGGGCTAAAAAGGTAGAAGGTATAGAAAGAACTACTATAGGGGTTCCACGGTTCATGAAAGAAATGGCAGATGCCTGGTCTTGGCTGAACAAAGTGGAGGGGAAAAAATAAACACTAGAGTAGTAATGGGTAGCAGGACTTACTCATGGCCAGAGCATGAGTTCAGAAGACAGCAGAGGGCTCTCAAATGAAGGTTCTCTGCCTCAAAACCCACCTTGGGTGACACGAAATACTATGACCAATATATGGCTTAAAGTGCTACCCCTCAACTGGAAGTTCTAGGGTATTGTGGGGGTAGGGAACCCCAGCAGGGGGCCAGGCCTGGACTGTAGTCCTCACTCTGCCTCTTGGCACACTAAATGCAGACAGGACCTCCTTGCTAAGTCTATTTCTGCCTCTCGGGAACAGGAAGTCTGAGAACCTTTGTTATCCCAGGCGCTACATCAATGCTAGACCTTGACACAAAGCAGTCTCAGAAGGTCTGCAGCTATGGACAGCGAACTCAAACTCTGAAGTTCTAGCCAAAGAAGTCAACGTGTCCCTTTGGGGTACATAAGTCACAGTGACTAAGAGTGAACCTCAGAAGGCTGTATTGGAGAGATACACCAGCTGAAGACAGTACAGTGTGAAGAGGAGCCAGGGTTACCTGGATGAGGTTGTTGGTGAGCCGGACAAGGCCGGTGGTTGAGGAAGATTCCTTTAGGATGCTGCCACTGCTGTCTGATGACAGTGCCTGCTCGATGCCTAGCAGCAACTGGGTCACCGTGGCCACCCACTCTTCCTTGGCTGCAGATTCAGTTGAGTTCACCATCTGCTGGACAGCCTCATTCAGAGCCACGTCAGAACATTCAAAACACTGTTTGTGGTCCTTCAACCGGAGCAATGAGTCCTGAACACAAGAAGAAGCAAAACGAAAAGTATGTGTCAGTTCTACACACAGGGACCACAGGCCTAAGGCTGGGAGAAAACACAGGACCAAGAGCAGGTGTCCTTCAGCGGTTTTCATTTGGCCTTGAGGCATCTGCACTGACCTGGGTGCAATGGCAATATGGCCTGGGAGCTTTTAGAAAAATGCTTTACTTTTGTGCCTAATCTTCCCATTTCTAAAGCTGGGCCTCAGTGAACAGAACCAGAGTTGGCAAGCAGCAAAACTGAAGCTAAGTGACTAATTCCTTTGTTACCTCTTGTGTTGACCTGAATGAGAATGGCCCCCATGAGCTCATATTTGAATGCTTGGTCTCTAGTTGGTAGAACTGTTTCGGAAGGATTAGGAGGTGTGGCCTTGTTGGAGGAGGTGTGTCACTGGGGTGGGATTTGGGGCTTTAATAGCCCATACCAGGCCCAGTCTCACTCTCTCTGCACCCAACCTGCAGATCAAAATACATGCTCTTTATCTACTGCTCCAGGGCTGCCTGCTGCCACACTTTCTGCCATGGTAGTCACGGACTCGCCCTCTGAAAATGTAAGCAAGTACCCAATTAAATATTCTTTTATAAGTGGCCTTGGTCATGGTGTCCCTTCATAACAACAGAAAAGTAACTAAGATACTTCTCCTCCAAAGTATTATGTCCCTCTACCGCCAGGTCTCAAGGAATGAGGGGGCCGTCTCAGCAGGGTAAGGCAACATACTAGGGAGGAACATGAACTGATGCCTCAGAAGGGACAAATGGCCAGTAACTGATGAAGTCATCATTCTGTAAGCTCCCTCTTCCCCAATGCACATGTGAGCCTCAGCCATGGCATCACCCCTTGAAGGTACATTTCCATGAACTGAAATGCAGGCCACACTGAGCACAATGTGAAGGACACACGGCTCTTACAACACCACACAGAGTCATGACTTCTATTTTAAAACCTCCGTGGAAGCCATCGACTTTCTATAAAGCTCCTCTGAGGAAGGAGAGGAGGCCTAGAATATAACCCATTTAAACCCCAGGGAAATGGGCTTCATCAATGGCTTGTGCTTCAGCAAACAGTGTGTGAAGTCACACATCTGACAGGCAGCTTGCTGGACCAGCAGGAAGCACCTACTGCCTGCGTGTGTCATCTGGCTCTGGCCCACCCCTTGCCCCTGCAACCCCAAGCCTAGGTCTGGAGGCAGCTCCTATCCACCTTTCTCTGGGGTGGCACAGGTATGGGAGCAGAAAGGTCCCAAATGCCTTCAAAATATATTGCAAAATTTGAACACAAAACTTTCTCCTAACTCACCAAGTCAGGAAAAGGGAGCCTCTGCTTCTTTGAGAAAGCAGCCTCCTTGAAGAGGAAGTCACTGGGGAAGGGGCTATGGAGTATACCTATGGGGTCCCAAACCCAAGCTGATTCCTTCTGATCAAAACTGAACATGCAAGAGGCAGATATAAGACAGCGTGCACACCGATTTCCAAAGTTGGCAAAGATGAGGGGTCGCCAATAGTGCTCTAACAGAACATACGGCTCAGGACCAGAACTAGAAAAAAGCAGAAGACCAGCTTCCAACTAGTGTAGAAACCAAATTACCACTCTCTGTGGGCAACACTACCATATAGTCAAACAAACAGTAAACAACAAAAAAAAAAACAGGAATCTCATTAAAAGACCAGGTTTAAATAAACAGGCAATGATCAGTAGAGTTCTTAGAAACCAACAATGTACTATTAAAAAGTACATTAATAATCCAAAATAGTAATATCCAAAGATTAACTCCACAAGAAGGAACCACTGCTATACTAAGGAACATAAAAAGAAGCTTGCTAAATTGGGAATTCTTTCTTGTATCCCCCTTACCATGAGAAAGATTCTGAATTTGATCCCCACTCCAGAAACACAAAAGCAGGCAAGTTAAAACATGCAAAACATAAAACATACACTGCTGTAGGCCAGTAAGAGCAAAAATACTTTCAACCCTATTGGTGTGTGTCCAGCCTCCTTCCCTCCTCCCTCTAGAACACTGCAGCCTTCTTGACTATTGCCAGGTACTCGGAGGAGGCTCCAGTCCTCTTTGTGGAGTAACTTGAGTAGATGAGCATTGGTCCAGTATAAAAAATGTTATCTAAGCATATGAAACAACTTACAATGAACAAAATCACAACCATTTGCAAATATGAAAAGATTCTGACAACATAAAAGCTGAGAATTTTGCATATAAAAACAAACAAAACAACAATAAAAGTCATGATTTAAAACTAAACAAGCCTGGCAGTGTTAGCTCATGGGCGATAGTGGCACACACCATTAATCACAGCACTTGGGAGGCAGACACAGGCAGATCTCTATGAGTTCTAGGTCAGAACTTCCAGAGGTAGACAAACACACACACACAAAGTAAAGGCAATATAAACATGGACGGTGGGCACATACCTGCAGTAGAAGCAGTTGGGCTGGCCTCTCAGGAATGGAAGTCATAAACTCCAGGTGTTTGGCTCGGTCAAACCCACTGGTACACAAGGTGGGCCGGAGCAGCTGCACCACTGCCTTGTAGTCACCTGCCTCAAACAGCCGCTGGATCTCCTCCAGCGACTGGCACCTTTCCAGAGACTTCAGGTTCTTATCAATCTGAAAAAGGTCCAATAATGTTGCCTAATAGCAATCCCTCATCCCCTCCCTGAATTTAGTCAATGTTTGAGTCTTCCCATCTAAATGAGAAAGATAAGCTTATACTCTAGTACTGTTTCAGCCAAAATACACTAGGTTCTGCACTTAATATCAGTGTTCATACAATGTGCATACTCCTTCAAAATTAGTTATGTTAATATCCAGATATATTCAAGTCTTTAAAAGCAAAAACACACAGCCACTGCAAAAGCAGAAGGGTTCTTGAATAGTATCTGCCAAAACAGTGTGAAAGTTCATGGTCACAGTTCAGAAGCCAGACTTCACAACCACGGACTGCCTGGCTGCCAAAGACCCAGAGAAAGAGTCAGGGGATTGACATGCATTGACCCACAGGGCCCTTTCCTCACAGAGGGCCCAATGTAGCCCTGGCACATAGACAGCAGAGTGCCTGGCCTTGTCCTGAAACAAAGGTAGAGGAATGTAGACGCTTTCAGCCATGTGAACACATCACAGATATAGACTGCAGCAGGGCAGAAGGCGCACGTGAGGAGAGTGCCATCCAGCAAAGGCCTGGCACACACAACATTTATTCCACTCCTGTGTGCAGCCAGATTAGCACTGGTCCAGTGCTTCCCTCCAGTCCTGCTGGGGCTGAGCAACTACTCCTTCTGAATCACGCTTGGTCACAGCTTCCACACTTGCCAGCTGGACAAGCTTTCTGCCAGTGGAGTCTGTCCTACACCTGCGCTGCCCCCTACCCTCACCCCAGGACCTTCTGCTCGGTATGTGGGCATCGCTTATTTCACAGGAGCAGATCAGGTCTGGTCTGACTAGATCAACCAGAGTACATCTTCCACCAAGAAAATACTATTAAAGACATCTACTCACTTCCTCCAGAGAAACAACAGAGTCATTGTGAAGGTTGGGCAGCCGGATGACAATGTCCCCTTGCTCAGCTCCTGCCTCTGCCTGGATGGCACTGGAACTCTGGAGCATTTCTGTGCAGATGTCATAATTCTCCAGGGCTTGTTCCATGTCTCCCTGGTCAGAAGAAAAACCAAGAAAAGGTGGCAAAAAGTAGAGAGTTAATTGTGCTGTCTGGTCCCATACACTCCTGATCTCACTAGACATAGACACCCTTAAGCTGGTTTGTTTATTTGCTGAGAGACAGGGTCTCATAGTCCATGCTGATCTTATACTATGTAGCACAAGGCTGGCCTTAAACTCTCCCCTCTAGGTGCTGGAATTACAAGCATGTGCCAATAAGCTAAGGTCTTCAATTATTGTTATGCCTCTTTCCCCACCACCGAAAAGGGCTTTCCAGAAAAGTGCAGCTAAACAAATCCCTTCCCGTGACTAAGTACATGAATAATGAGTGATCCATTCCACAGCTCTGAGAGACAAAGTTTCATTAACAATGTCACAGGTGAAGACACCAATGTCACCTCAGCACAGCCAGGTGTCTGGCCAATCCAGAGTTAAACCAAGGCCTGTCCTAACTCTAGAACTGACATTCTTCACATTAACCGTGCTGCTTCCCCCAGACTGAGCTACTATGATCCAGGCTATCTCTGACACACTCTCCCAGTGCCCCAAGTACCAGCAGAGAAGGGTACTGGAGAACAGTAGAGTCACTATGGCCTTCCCACCTAGGCTCTAAGAAGAAGCCAGGTGAGTAATTCCTTTTGGAGCACCCTGTTCCTATTCCTGTTACTTGCTGAGCCTTCACGGGAAAATAAAAGGATCAATCAAGGCAGTTTTGAGCAGAGATCGCTGGAGAACATAGGATCCCTTCAAAGCCCTGTGGTGGGCACTGAGGTGCTCCCAGAATGGCAGCCATGCTTTGACTACTGACATGCTGGCAATTTCCAAAATGCCTCACTTCCTCACACAAGTCCAGCAGAGTTACAAATGCTTATTTCCTCAATATAGCCAGTTCTCTGCCCTCCCTGTCAGGTGTGGGGGCACGTTCTGACCACGGAACCAACCTGCAACGCCAAGAAACGCGCTTTCAGCCAGTACACGCGGACAACAAACTCCAGCCAGCCATCCTCAAAGAGGTCCCGCTGAGACGAGGCGAATGACAGCTGCAGGAGATCACCCAGGCAGTGGGTTCCTGGGAAGTCAGGCCCAAACCTACCTGTCACCACACCAGCAGGGCAGTTCCGGGGGGACACTAGAAAACATCCGGGCAATGTGACGCCTTCATGTACATCATCCAAACACCTTTCCACTCCCAGAGGCCTCCTTCAGCCCTCCCGGTAGTAGCCCCCAAGTGTCCATGATTAGGTTCCCTGATTCCTCAGAGTCCCACAGCCCCTGAGCAGCAGGATACAGAGTAGCTCAGTCAGACAGTCACAGAGAGATAAGAAAGGGGGCTGCTAACTTCACTGAACACTAAACTTAACTATATTCTACCAGGTGGAATTTTAAAAGAATAATCTGAGAAAATTACTGGAGACACATACAGCACTGAGCAGTCACTCCAAGGCTGGGAGTCTACTTCCTTAAGTCCCAAGTAACGGTAACGGCAGCTAAGTGATACCTACAGCTGCCTCTGCTGCCACCTCCTCAGTGTCAGGGGATTTAGCAGAAATACTGAAAAGCCATCTCAGAGAAGGTGCCCAGGGACTGCATGGCCCAGTCTCACCACTCGGGCTTCCTCCAGCCTAGTGATGTTCAGAAAATCACCATGCTAAGAATACAAATGCCCCCTACCTGTCGAGCTTCGGCCTTTGGTCAGCAGCCACTGGTCCAGCTGGAGCTCCATGCAGGAGAGAGACATTAGCATCATGTCCTATAGGACAAGCACAGGGAGGATGGGGCAAAGACTCACCACATCAGGAGATGACCAAACTAAAACCAACTTTTCTCATGTATCCCAAGTTTGGCTCAAATGACTACGAAGCCAATGGCCAACCTCGAACTTCTGCACCTCATCTTCGCACCTTCCAAGTACTGGGATTACACACTGGGCCACCATATCCACCTGTTTGTTCCAGGGCTGGGGAATCAACCCAGAGCTTTGTGCATGCCGGGCAAACTTTCTACTGAGCTGTATTCTCAGCACTAAAGGTGCTTTTTACAAAACTGATTAAAATTTATTTATACATTTTTTAATGTTGTGCTAGAGTTATATGTATGTGCATATGTATGTGATGTGTGTATGTGTGTTATAGCACGTTTGTGGAGGGTCAGAGGACTTTGCAGAGTTGGTTCTCTCTTTCCATCTACACATGGGTTTCAGGGATCATCTAGGTTACCAGGGCCTATTCAGCAAGCTCTTTTACCCACTAAGGCATAGATGAAAATTTAATTCTCTTTACTAAACAATAATCACGGCTACTGCCAGAATGTTTAGAAAAAACAAGAGATGGCTCTACTTAGGGAAGAAGCAACCTGTCTGTTACCTGACTCCTCTGCCAGGCCAGACACAGACTAGCCACCACTCAACATTTAAAAGTGCCAGCAACATGGTGTGTAATCATCAGGGTACTAAAGAGGCTAAGACTCAGAGATGGGGCACTGCCAGCAGGTACAGCTGGAAAAGGGGCAGTCCCATTTCTGGATTTCAAACACTGGCTCCTGCTGACTCACATTATTCCTGGAGAAAATAAAGCCTAGTGGGAAAAAGCTACTTGGGGGTATCGCAGTGAGATCGGCTTGGTGACGAAGCAATGGCTCTGCAGACATGTCAACTCCAGCCTGACTCTCAACCAGAAAGATTACCTGGATTGGGTCCTGTGGCATGGCTGCCACAGGCTCACAAGTTTGAGTACTGGTCTTAGTGGAACTATTTGGGAAGGATTAAAAAGCATGGCCTTGTTTGGAAAGTGTGTCACTGGAGAGAGGCTTGAGGTTTCTGGCTTACGGTTTGTGGATGGAGACGTGAGCTCTCAGCGGCTACTCCAGCACCATGCCTGCTTGCCTGCCGCATGTTCTGCACCAAGATGGTGATAGACTCCTATCCCTCTGGAGCTCTAAGCCCCAAATAAACCCTTCCTTCTCTAACTTGCCTTGATCATGATGTTTTATCAGCAATAAAAAAAGTCACCAAAATAGATGTCTTTCCACGTTCCTACCTCAGTGCCTGGCATTCTACCTTCAACAAGAGAGGTGGGCCTGATAACCTGCGTCCTTGAGCTCTAGAAAACACTACAACAGGAATCTGTGATAGGGAATGCAGTAGATGGAGCTGAGCAAGGCTTAACTCCCAACTGCTGGAGGACCACTCCCCTAAGCACCCTACCTAGCTGTTTCCTCTATTCTGTTTTCTCACCTGATAAACAGGGCTATGGATAAAGCTCAGTGATAGAGTTCTTACCTAGCATGGACAAGGCCCCTAATACCATGTATGCACACAAAAACATTTTTACAAATTAGTAATAGTTCCTAGCCTGTCAAATACAGCCAGAGCTTCCTTTTCCTATGACCACTCTCATCGCAGTAAACAACATTAGACACCGTCCCCATGGCTTACTTCTTCTTACTCAAGTCCAGATATCTTGCCAGTTGTGTTCCAGAACCTCAACTCCACTGCATTGCCATTAATGGAATCTGTCACCACCATGGCTCAACCGGCAGCAGCCTTCAGTCTGCTATACTCATTCTCACCCCCAGAGTATCCCATTCAGTCACTAGGAGTTTTCTGGACACAAGGCAGGTCATGTGGCTCCCTGCTTCAAACTGCACAATGGTCCAGGTTCCAGACTGAGAACTAAATAGAGCAAGCGGGCTGGACACAGCAGTCCTGCACCCGAGGAAGATCCCTGTCACTGTCTCCTGGTACCAGTGACACTATAGCCCTTAAGAGGCCCAACCTTGATGTGCTTGTTGCTGCAGTCCCTCAGCAATGGGTTGGGCAGGCTGGTGCTATGCCTCCTCCAGCTGTGGTAGACGCTAAGAACGACATCTGCCAGGCCCGGGGGCCACCGCAGCAAGAACTTGTGGCCCATGCTCTTCAGATAGCGCATCATCAGCTCCAGGATGCCCCCATTGGTCAAGTTCTCCATCAGGAACTCATGCACATCCTGCTTCTCTGTCCAGAGAAGGAAAATAACCTCACCAAGATGAATAGGCCCCCTGCACCCAGTTTCTCTTCTCTTCAGAAGAGGACAGCTTGGCTCCTCTCTTCCCCAACTCAATCTAGGTAAGCATAAAGCCATGCTGCAGTGCTAAGACCAGGCTTATCAGCATTCAGTGCTGACTCTAGCACTTGCCAATGGTGAACAAGCCTCCCAAAGTTCCCATGTCTAAGATGAATATCAAAAGGGCTAACCTCCAAGTGCTCCCATGTGCAGTGATTGAGATCATACACACAAAACAGTGTCTGGGACCCAGCACACACAGAATAGATGTGATAACACACACTAAGCTTGCAAAGGCAAGCCTCTGAGGCCAGTGTTAAGTACACAGCCTTAGGAGCACAGCAAGCATGCACCTGGAGCCCTCAGCTGACCACAGCAGCTCTTTCACCAACGCTCACGAAACACCCTGAACCATCATGCAGAACAAAACCCAGGCAGGTTACAGGTTGGTGGAAGGAAGAACCCCAGCAGTGACTGATGGCACCGCTGATTCCTACCAGATTCCATGAATGTGGCCGAATCAAAGGATAGTCGGTGAGGCCCCACATTTGAGAAGCTCTCCAGCTTGGCTTCTGACTGAACTTCATAGTTATTAAATGGGTCATCTTCCTCCTCAGGGTCCAGTTTTCTTAACCTACATGGAACATGCTCACATCACAAAGCCATACCACTCACTGTGACAAAGCATCCCAACTCCTAGTAGAGCAACTGGATTGAGCAGAGATGAAGGACACTGAAACAGACAGATGAGAGCACCCACCCAGGCCTCCAAAAGGCGCCGCCTCTCTCCAGACTTCCTAAGTCTGTGGGGTCGGTACCCATACTTACTCTATACCACCAACAGACAGCTGGTGAGCAGCAGCCATGTGCCATGCACAAAGCTAGGTACCAGAATACAACTACAAATACCGGCAGTGGCCGGCAGCAAGCTCATCTCTCAATGTGAGAGGCAGACCATAAGCAGGAACTCACCCACAAACAACCCAAATAAAGACCAACCACTACAGGGCCCTGCCTTGGGGAGCAGAACCAGAGCGCACACTCTCGGACTGACAACAGAGGAGCTAAGCACAAGCAGAGTCTCCAGCCAGAAGAACACAGGTGTGCTGTGGGGCCGCATCAAGCCCATCCGAGCTCTATCCGTGCATGGCTCCTCACACTGCAGACACCACCTCCAGACACTTCCCTAGGACCATGTTTAGCCATCCTATAGCTTCCTCAACCAGCACCAGCACAACACTTAGGGAACCTTTAAATGTCTCTCTCAGGACACTCACAGGAACAAATATTCAAACTTCATGGAGACCAACTTGAAGCAGAGGTAGCCCCACATAAAGAAGGCAGGGAACAAGACCACAGGGTAGGCCAAGCAGGGTTAAGGGGAAGACAACTACAACACAATCAATCCTTCACTCTCCCAAAGAGACACTTTTCCCTGTAGCACGTTTCAGGAGAAACCCAGCAGAAGGCATCACATCTCCACCTTGGTCCTCCTTAGCTGTGTACTAAAAACAACCTTCATCTAAGAAGTTTACCCTCATGGGAGAGATGGATGGAGGGGAAAAAGAGAGGCTAAGTATCCTGACACAAAATGATGTACAGTCTGTTAAAGTTTCTGAGTTCCCCTTGAATTCTAACGGAATAACCACTGAAATAAACCGTCACTGTCAAAATGACCGCTGAAGACTGAGATCTCTTGATGGTGTACTGATCAAATGCTGCTCAGATAACGGTAAAGAGAGAAAAGCCCTAGACTTACAAAGACACAGGAGTTGAGAGAGGAAGTCCTGGAAGATCAAAAATATGCCCCCCTCCAGAGTGCTATAAAGGAGAAATATGATGGAGCAGAGCAGATTACTTGCTCTCTTCACTTTGCTGGGAGGACAGAAACAGGATACCATGAAGCAGGCCCACTGGCACGATAAACCCTAAGAAGGCTCAGGAGAGAGAGTCTAGGGTAAGACCAAAGGAGGAGGACCAGTAAGAACTTAGAGGCCTAGGTGCCTCCTGTTTCTGAGACAGCACCTTCTGCCCTAGGATTCTTTGAGGGTCATGAAGAATCAATAAAGGAGCCAGGTCTTCCTCCTTCTTCCCAGAAAGCAATGGAATCATGGAAACAAAGAAAGGCAGAAACACTGTAGTGATCTTAAAAAAGCGGCACGCTGGAGAAAGACGCCACACAATGAGTTCATGTGGAGGGAAAGGGAAGGAGGGACACTGGCTTCTGGGACAGGAGCAGCAGAAGAGAAGTGAAAGGCAGAGATACAGAGAGGGAGGGAGAGAGAATGAGAAAGAGGGAGGGAGGGAGGGAGGGAGGGAAGAGGTGCGCAGGGCCCTTTAAAAGGGAATGTAGACAATGTGCACAGGAGGTGCTCTTAGTGGCCACAGCTGAGGACACAGCCTGCCAGAATCCCAAGGGCAGGCCAGTACAAATGCCTGAATACTAACAAACACACACCTTTAGGAGAGGCTAAAAAAAAACCAAGAAGCCAATCTAGTGCAATCTACACTCTGTATCCAAGCAAAGGTCAAGGGAAACAAGAAGGGTACCCAAAGGGAGGGGAACTAATAGGATGAAAATGCTGCTGGAAGAAAAAGACAGCAATCTGCAGGTTACTTCAGAAAAAAACACAAGAGTACAGTACCTGGACGGCAGGAACTTTACCAGAAGCCCCTGGAAATCCACTTTCTCTTCCTTTTTGCACTTGGTGTTTCGGACACGGGCAGACCTCCGCTTTGCTGTCTCTCCACTCTCTTCTAAAGTCTTCTTACGCTTTACACCTTTCTTAGATTTATCTCCCCCAGAAACATCACCTTCACCAAGAGTGAAAATTAAAATCTTACACAATGGCAGGCAAGGAAAACAGCAACACATGTACCCATTGCTTACAAGCCTCCAGCACTGAACTCTTCTGTAACAGCCATGAGATCTCTTTTTAATAACAAACATATCCTTCTTGCACTGAAGAGACCCTAGTCAGGGCTCAGAACATGTCTACCTTCAGCACTAACCAGCGGCATGAGCCTCTGTGGCCTCAATCCTAGGGCAGGCAGGGTAAGTGGCTCTGACCTTAGCCAAGACCCACCAAATACAGAATGACAGGAATAGAAAAAGAAAACCATGAATTATGTAGAGAACAGGGAAGTGTCACGTGTGACTGAGAAAACAACCATGCCTACAGTCATTCTGAAACTTCTCTACGTGCCAGGTATTCTTGAGTGTAGTGACAGAAAAATCAAGAAACTGCACGGGAGCTTTTGGTAAAAACTTCTTACAAGTTCAATGGTAATAAAAAAAATGTACTATTACACATGGTAACAACTTCTAAAGTCAACAAACTTAGAATGCATGCATATAGCAAGAAAGCAGGACCAGCAACAAGGAGACGCCAGATCACATCACAAGAGAGAAGAGGACTTGCATGCAAAGACTTAGCAGTTGGAAAAGGAATGGGAATCTGCCAAGGAGCTGCATCTGTAGCCCCAGCCCCTGAGCGTGAAAGCTTCTGTGCTGTCCCTGGGACCAGGCTGATTAGTTTTCTACAAGGTTGGAGCTCTCATTTTCACTCTGTCTACAAGGACCAGCATGATGCTTTTCCCTGGAGATGCCGTGTGATATATTTCCCTGGAGATGCCAAAGTCCCCTGTTCTTATTCCTGCTGGGCTCAACATACATACATAGGCTCTTCAGAATGTGACTTTACAAGGTCTACTCACCCATGGGAGCATTTGTGTCCAGCAGACCAGGACTGTGCAGTGGGAAGCTGGCTGTGGTCACAGAGGTATAGGACAGCACAGGCTCAGCCACAGTGACAGTTGGGTTGGTGCTAACAGGATTTGGCTGGACCACACTGATAGGTGTAACCACTACAGAGGATGCTAGTAGCTGGCTGGGGTCCTGGTAGTCAGACAGGTCAATCCTCTTGCCAAGGCTGGGCCTTGGGGGTTCACAAGTGGTGAGGTGATTGTACATGGCCAGCAAGCTCTCTCCAAGGCACTTCCACCTACAAAGAAAGGGGTGCCACACCTGGTCAGCACCTCTTAGAGGCCAACTGGCCTGTATAAATAAATTCAGCAGAACTAACTATTCCCAGAGCTGTGACCTCAACAGAGCAGGGAGAAAGTAGTCAGCATGTTGGTCACTATTATAACCAACAAAGTGTTGACTCCAACATGTGCACAGTGGAGGAGCCCATACCAGAGCAGGTGAAGTGACTGCTATCTTCCTGGTCCTCACCCCAGCAGAGACCCCCAGTGTTCTATTCCATTATGTCATCCTCTACAAAAGAGAGATGCTATTCCCATATTTTTTTTTATTTTTTATTTTTATTTTTTGGTTTTTTTATTTATTATGTATACAATATTCTGTCTATATGCCTGAAGGCCAGAAGAGGGTGCCAGACCTCTTTTACAGATGGTTGTGAGCCACCATGTGGTTGCTGGGAATTGAACTCAGGACCTTTGGAAGAGCAGGCAATGCTCTTAACCACAGAGCCATCTCTCCAGCCCCGGGTATTTTTTGGTTTTTTGAAACAGGGTTTCTCTGTAGCTTTGGAGTCCATCCTAGCTAGAACTAGCTCTTGTAGACCAGGCTGGCTTCAAACTCAGAGATCTGCCTGCCTCTGCCTCCCAAGTGCTGGGATTAAAGGGGTGCACCACCACCACAGTCCCTAAGGTCACACCAGGACTGCTGTGAAGGCACACAGAAGAGGCGCTCTACACCACAGCAGCAATGACTGAGTAAGGTCACCTAGGGGCAAGAGGTTAGGATTATACTGGTGCCAGGACATGCTAAATTTTAAAGACTCAAGATTCAATGGCAGAATATGTGTGTGTATATGTATGTTTGAGACAGTCGTATTGTATAGTCCCAGCTGGCCTTAAACTCATGCAATCTGGTCTGAAAATCAGAGACCCACCTGCTTCAGCCTCCTGAGTTCTGGGATTTCAGGCATGAGCCTGTCTATAACGCCAAAAATTTTAAAGCAAAAATTAAATGCCAAAGCTTACTGCAGTACTAAATTACCCTAACTCCAGTGAGCCACCAATATCAGCTCCCCCTTCCATCAAGGAAAGGGCCTCTTATACATGTCAGGGCTCACAAGGGCTACGCTGAGGCCTATCTTACACATCTTGCATGTCATCTGGCCCTCATATGAATACAGACTCAACAGCCAGGAAAGTCCACACCTGTGACAAACTCCACGGTGCCAGGTTCTCTCCTAGTTAATGGTGCCAAATGTTAGTGTTCTTTCCTCTGCTTAGCAGAGAAGACTGAAAAAGATAAGAACATTCCTAGTGGTTGGGAGAGCAACCTACACCGGGCATACTAAAGAGAGTGAACCTGTTTCTTAGTAGCCTGCAAGGAGGCCCATGACTCCAGCTCTCTAGCCATTGCACACCAGCCTTCCCACACCTCCAGACATGGATGGGCCTGGGGTTCCTCCCTCCTGCACAGGGAGTATCTTGACAGACCACCCGATGTTCCTAGAGAAACCAGATGACCTACGTGAAGAAAGGAATGGGTTGCACTAGTTTCAGGTCCGGTTCCTTCTCCCGCACGATCAACGCTTGCCTCTTCTTCCTCAGCCCCAGAGCCTCATCTACAATGGCCTGTGTCTCCGCTGCACTCACAGTCACATCGTGAATTGACATGTCACTAAAAGCATAGAAGACAGGAGGAAATTAGTTAATACTAGAACCAAAGACAAAATTCTACAAAGAGAAATACATTTAATACCCTGTGATCAATATTTGATAGCTGCTGAACATAAATTACAATGTGGCTCTGACCTCAAATGAGTAGTTATCAGCATGCATATGCCCACATACACTGGGAATCACAAAAGCCCTCTGCTCCTTCCACAGTCCACAACAGGGCACAGGTTTCTGTATGTATTAATAGTATCACCTTCGTGTCTAAAAAGCCATAGGAAAGAAAAGCCTTGCCTGTCTATTCCAACAAAGTCATTAGACAAATTATGTTCACCAAAATCAACAGCATATCCAAACTACAGAAAGGTCTCAGGTGAGCACTCACAGCCTGAGATGACGTACTACCTGCCCTCCCAGTGTGCCCCGGTGCCTCCAGCAGTCTACTGCACTACAGTCACTCTAGAGACTTAACAGTCTCCTCAGAAACACTACTTCACTCAAGACATTCATGAGCACAGGGGTAGGCTTATAGAGAACAGAGCCTGAGACAAGCAGCCACCAATCCCCTCTACAGGGTTGTCTGAGTGGAGAAACTGGGGAGGAGGGGCACCACAGCTCAGAGGCTGCAGAGGCACCATTAGAGAATTGCAACGTAAGTGAAACAATGCAAAACAAGTGGGAACAACATGACAGGTGAGGGCTTAGCCAGAGTTCCTATACTGCGATAAAAGACCATGACCAAGAATCAACTTGGGGAGGAAAGGGTTTATTTGGCTTACACTTCCACAGCACTGTTCAATACTGGAGGAAGTCAGGCCAGGAACTCAAACAGGGCACAAACCTCGAGGCAGAAGCTGATGCAGAGGCCACAGAGGAGTGCTGCTTACTGACTTCCTTCCCAGGGTTTTCTCAGTCTTTCTTATAGAACCCAGGACCACCAGCCCAGGAATGGCCCCACCTACAGTGAGCTGGGCCGTATCTCATCAATCACTAATAAAGAAAATGCCCTACAGGCTCACCTACAGCCCAATATTAGGGAGGTATTTTCTCAGGTGAGGTTCCCTCCTCTCAGATGATTCTGAATTGTGTTAAGTAGACATAAAACTAGCAGCACAGGAGCCACAGGTTTGAAGAGACAGGATAGTAAGTCACAAGGGGGCCAGGTAGGAATATGCCAGGCACCTGAGAAAATTCTAACAAAGGAATGTGTGTGTGGAGGGAGTGGGGGAGAGCAGAAGGTAAAAGGAGAGAGAGGGAAGCGCCCAGGCTGCAAAGGTCCTCTAGGTGATACAGGTCAGAATGAGCTTTACTCTGGAGGCATGGCAGGGGTGGCACAAGATCAAGACTGAATTTGGGCAGTACTGATGACAAAATCTTGGCAGGGGCTGTAACCCCGAGTTCAATTCCTACTCCTTAACCCCACCAAACAATAAACAGGCAAGTAAACACAAGCTTGTTGAGGAAGGCAGCACAGGGGCCAAAGCCCTGGAGTTCAAGGACTCCAACTGCACTCAGATCAGGACACAGAGTGGGGACAAAGGATGTTCCTGATGCTTACTAGCCACACGTGGTGACGTGATTCAGGCCTTACCATTTGAGGAACATTCGAAGTGAGTCCTTCCGGAGACAAGGCTGCTCTTCAAAAATCTTCTCCTTGAGGACCAGACCTTTGCTGTATCGGCAGTCTTTCTCCAGCGCTTTGCAGATGAAGTAGAGACATGCTAGCAGGAAAGAAACAGGTGAGGAGCTAAGACTGCTTCCCGAACTCTAGCCTCCCAGTCAACACCAGGAAAATGTTCCCACTCTGGAACCAAAGAACGCACAACAATGATGAGCTAGCATCTTACCCTACTCAATTAATTAGTAACGACTGCTGAGACTGTGGTATCCAGAACACACACCTGCAGGTGAGTAGCACAGCTGCTGCCAGAAGCAAACAGATGTATGACTTCCCTGTGCAGCCTTAACCCTGTGATTCCATATTTAATAACTGCTACAAAAAAAAAAATCTAAAGAGCTCACAGTGATCAGCTATTTGTCCTTCAAAATGTCTAGCTATCTCTGCTATGAGAGTGACAATGCCACCCAGGATGAACTATACCTCTATATCACATACACATAAAGAATTGTACCCCAGGATGAACTATACCTCTATATCACATACACATAAAGAATTGTGCCCCCAGATGAACTATACCTCTATATCACATACACATAAAGAATTGTGCCCCAGGATGAACTATACCCCTAGTATCAGATACACATGAAGTGGATTCACCTTCCTCTCGTTTCCCAACCCCACCCCATCAAGTAAAGATATCAGAGGTGGCAAACACAGAAGCCAAGAGCAGGCACCAATCTGCTGGCTTAGCCTCCAAAGCAATGAGAAATGTCTGCCATTAAATCACTCAACATGGCAGGCATTTTGAGTTCAAGAGTAGCTTAGGTGACACAAGAAACTTTTTCTCAAAAAAAAAGAACAACAACCCAAAAAAGACAGAACAATGGACAAAGGTAAAGAGGAAATCCTTTAGGGAACACATTAACACTATCCTACTGTTATACTTACATTATGAGGTTAATGAAGAAAGGAAAACAGAATAAAGTATGCAAAAACATCTCCATTCTTCCTCAGTTTGGCAGAAAGTCTAACAAGATCAGTTTTGCTACCAGCTTACCCAAGTTAACTTCTCTCCTCTGTTCAGACTCACTTGTGTAATCACTGAGGGTGTACAAAACAGTGATGAGATTGTCCAAGCAGGGCCAGTGATCAGGATTACACCGAAGTCCTTCCTCAAAAGCATGGCGAGCCAGGGGAAGCCGGATGAGCCTCAGTGCCACGTGTCCAATTTTGTACCAGAGGTTGACGTCTGTGGAGTCCAGCATCACTGCCTAGAAGCAGTGCAAGCAGAGGGCACATGTACACACATGACTAGACTTCTCACTGGGCAGTCAGACTGGGGACAAAGGGACGAAGCACTGGCCCAGCCATACAAATTACCCAGGGCACACAAGGCACTATGCCTACTTATAACTAGTAAAGCTGGTTCACTTCTCTGGAGTCACACGTGTCCAAGACCCAGAGAAAGGATACAAAAAAGTCACATGGAACAGGGCATGGTGACTCACACCTGCAGTTGTAACACTCTGCAGGCTGAGGCACGGGGACAGCAAGTTCAAGACCAATCCCCAGACTACAAAGTGAGTTTCAGGACAGTCTAGGCTACATAATAAAATCCTCAAGAAATGCATGTTATATAATGACTCCATGTCTCCATGTCTCTAATTCCAGCACTTAAGAGGAGGAGGATTAAGAATTCAAGGTCATTCTCCCTTCATAGCCCTGAAATACATGAGAACTGTCACACAAAACTTACTTACGGAAGCATTTGTGCTCCTTACATATTTATAGGAAGACTCTTGGGGGAAGCTCTGTCAGTAAAGTGCTTGCCCAACAAACACGAGGACCTGAGTTTGAGCCTCCAAACCCATTAAGAAACAGGTGGATCCCGGGAGTCACTGGCCAACTAGACTAGTTCTAATTGGTTGAGCTCAAAGTCAATAAGAGACTCTGCACCAAAAAACCTGGACATGTTCCTGAGGATAGCACTCAGCATTAACCTCTGGCAAGTGCACATGTGAATACGTGGGAGGGGGAAATAAGATGCTGAAAAGATGGCTCAGAGGTTAGGAGCGTTTGCTGAGAGTTTGCAGAGGATATGAGTTTGGTTCCAGCACCTACGTCAGTCAGCTCACACCTGTAATTCCAACTCTGGGGGTCTGAAGCCAAAGGGCCTGGCAAGCACCTGCAGTCACACACACATACTCACACATACACTTAATTAAAAATATGATACATCTTTAAAATAAATCATAAGAGGAGGAATTGGATACAAAGAAAAATATGGGACTCTTACACGATTCTAGAAAAATTATAGGCTTTGGGAAGACCTTAGTTCACATCACTGTTCTAACATTAATTAGCAGAATAACCTAAGCCTGTGTCCTCATCACTGAAATGAGGATAAGCTCAACCTCCTTGCAAAAATGGCATAAGCCTGCATGGAGAGCCATTGGCGCACTATCTGGTACAACAGAAACAATGCTGATGTTATTATGGCTGCAGTGCACTGAATACAAGTGTCAGGCTCTGCTCTTCATACCTAATAACTGGATTCCTTTGCTCCAAACTTACTATGTGATCCTCCGACCTCAGCCTCTCCACTGCTTGGTTTATAGATATGTACCACTATGTTCGGCTTTACCCCTTCTTTTCTCCCATTACATTGGCACAGACCTGGAGGCTCAAATGGATGAATTAAGTCACCTATAGTCACGGGTGTACTGATGGTACAAAGTCCATCCCAGTCCCTAACCCTGCTTTCCAGGTCTTTCTAAATTCAATGCCTCGGGCTCAATATCCTGGTAGGACACCACTACAAACTCTTCTTTTCAGTCAACACCACCACATCATATCCCCTTCTTCATTAACTGTGTAAATGGATATTTGAGTACTACCAACTCCATACTTCCAAATAGAATTCCATGGCTGTCTCTAGATCTTCTCGTTGGGCTGCCAGCTGGGCCAGGTTCTTATATGTAGAATATTTCAGTATCAGTCCAGGGTGTTTCAACCCTTCCTTCTCATCTCCGGAAGAAACTGCCTGAGAGGAAAGAGAAACAGAAGTGACTCCACGTTCCTAGAGCTTCAGCAAGCAATCAACAGAATGCCTGATTTCCAGGCCAGATACTGCTTGGGACAGCCCAGTTCACCTGACCTGGGAAATTAAGGTGTTGCAGACATTCTGGGCAGTCCTGACAGCTCCAATCATACAAAGAAAGGCCAAACCACCAGGAAGATACCAAGGCCAAACTTGGTAATCAAGAAAGACAAGGGACTCCTTTCTGCCCCTGCTGCTGTATCTCGGGTGCTCAGTGTAGCTGGAAATGTTTATCAGTTCTGACAAACCAGTCCAGTCAGTCCCCCTGCTCAGGGACAAGTGTGGAGAGGCTTCCTGGGGTGAGCAGGCAGGACCTAAAGTTTTTCCCCAGAAGGCCAAGCTCCTGACTCTGAACCATCATATAACCACCAATAAGCTACTCCAACCAAAGAGCTGCTGCAAGTAAACTCTGTAATAAAAGGGCAGTAATTCCTAGCCTGGATAGCAAATGTGAACATGAGATCAAAGAGCATAAGGATTATAAACATTTTTAACATAAAAAGTTAGTTCACTGATGCTTTTATAGCAATGACTTAAAAACATTAACTCTTCCAAGAAATGACTGAATAAAAACTATTGCCTGAGCCGGGCAGTGGTGGCACACAACTTTAATCCCAGCACTTGGGAGGCAGAGGCAGGCGGATCTTTGTGAGTTCTAGACCAGCCTGGTCTACGGAGTGAGTTCCAGGACAGCCAGGGATATACAATGAAACCCTGTCTTTAAAATACAGCCCTCAAAAAAAAAATAAATAAATAAAATAAAATAAAATAAAATACAGCCCTCCCCACCTCAAAAAAAATTGTCTGGGCATAGTGATACATACTTTTAATCATAGCAGGAGGCAGAGATAGGCAAAACTGTTAGTTAAAGGTCTGTCTACATAGAGAATTTCAGGCCAACCAGCACTCAGGAGGTAGGAGTAGGACAATCAGTTTAAGGCTAGCTTTGGCTACACAGCATGTTCAAGACTAGCCTAAACTACATGAGATCCTGTCTCAAAAAGAAAAAAACTAAAGCCAAACACACATGAACACATACATGTACACATGTGCAAAACAAGAGACAGACAACACTAAAAAGCACTGGGCAGGGTGTTCCATGCCCACAATCCCAGCATCCAAGAAAGCCCTGAGTTTCAGGTTAGCCTAGACTTCAAAGTTAAGACTCTTCTCTCAAAAACCACAACCCAGCCTACCAGTGCCTCACCTCCCGCAGCAGGCGCGCCTCCAGGAGCTCATGGTAGGCCTTGGCAGACTCCTCAAACCTGTCATGTTTCTGCAGATCCAAGGCCTTGTGGTATAAGGCAAAAGCCTCTGCTTCCTGCAAACCAAGATAGGAGATGGTTCACACCACACAAAAGTGGATCCATTTAAACCAAAACTCTGTGTAACAGGAAGGCTGTGAGTCACTGCCAAGTTAACTGTCAGCCACAGCCGCTATAGCAAAAGAAATGCTATTCAGTGTCCAGACCTCATCACTGGGGAAAAAGAGTCCCTTTCGGGCACACACAGAGAATCACAGCACCACTAAGTGTGGGCAAGAGGCAGCAACACAAAAGGCAGAATAGACAGCTCTCAAGCATGGCTATTTCAGAGTGAAGAAGTCCAACACAAGGTGAAGCCAGCCACCGTCACAATGCAATCTCCCCTTACAACTCCATTAAGGAGATGCCTGAATTCATTTAAAATGAGCAGCAAGGTGTACCCCAGAGGAAGATCTTTGAGTACATACATACCTGGGCCTCCTTTGTCTGAATTTTGTGGCTCTTAAAGCTTCCTTCATGGTCATCCTCAATTGTGGAGCTGGCATTTAAGGCTGCAATTCGAATCTAGAAACGTTCAGAGGAAGAGCAGCGTAGTGCTCAGATGAATACAATTCTGCTTCCAAACATAGTCTAGACTGCTATGAAAAGCTATGGAGGAATGAACCACCAACAATCACCCAGAGGTAAAGACTAGAATAAGAATTTGTCTGTGGGGCGATGCCAATCAGGATGCAAAGTAAACCCTGGATACTGCCCACCACAGAATGAACAGAGGCTGGGGGTACCCAGCTTCTACTTAACACAGTACAAGACCTGTATATAGAAAAACAATCCCAGCTATGCAGTGGTGGCACACGCCTTTAATCCCAACACTTGTGAGGCAGAGGCAGGTGGATCTCTGCGAGTTTGAAGTCAGCCTGGTCTACGAAGCGAGTTCCAGGGCAGCCAGAGCTGTTACAGAGAAATCCTGTCTCGACAAAAAAAAACAGAAAGAATAACAATCCTAAAGAAACACGCCAGTCTTCTGTCTTTCCCACTAATGTGACTGAAGCCCTAAAGCAACACCCAGTCAGTATCCTCACCCACAGCTGTACCAGCAGTGTTCCTGGCAGCAGAAGGAAAATGCTCCTTACTCCAGGTACAAAGTGACAACACTGTCCCCAACAACTTGGGCAGGCATTAGCTCTTACCATATTTAGAGATTCAGCACCACCACGGAGGATCAGTTCCCATTACTGGTAGAGGATGTGCCAGTCCACAGTCCCCTAAAAAGGAAACAGGACCAAGGGGTTCAGGAAGAACCAGGAACAGCACAGTGCTAGGACCCACCTGTGTCTTAGAAATATGGGAAAAACAAAATTAGAGGAAGGCAAACCAGTCTGAAGGCTGTAAAAGACAATGGGGATGGCAGAATGTGGTGATGTTAGAACTTCTATGTTGTTCCTGGGAATATAAAACAGCCCCCCTGGAAAACGCACTGGCAATTCCTCAAAACGCCAAACAGAATCGGCATGCAGTCTGAAAGTTCTACTCCTATGCATTTACTCAGAAGAAAACATGTTCACATAAAACTTGCTCATGGTTATCCCTAAGAGCTAAAAGGAAGAGTCACCACAACACCCACAAACTGATGAACAAATAAAATGGGGAAAGTCCATGAAAGAACATTATCCATTCATAAAAGAATATTCTGATACATACTACAACATGAAGGAACCTGTAGAACTAAGATAAAAAAAAAAAAGATGCCAAACACAAAAGTCAACACTGTCCGGTTCCAGTTACATGATGTATCTGGAATAGACAGAATCGACCAGCAGGCAGGGAGAATGTTGAGATCCGGCTGTGCCCTGCTTGTTCTAAGTCTATATTATGTAAAATTCTGGTTCTTCAGGCTGTGCCCTGCCCTCAGAGTCTCAATTTTACAAGCAGCTTTGGACTCCATCTTGAGTATGGAGGATGACTATGTACATGGTGGACATGGGAATCGTCCATCTGTGATGTGGGATTCTCTGTATATGTGTTGCTTTTATTGGCTAATGAATAACTCTTCCTTGGCCTACAGCAGGGCAGAATATAGCCAGGCTGGAAGAGATATAGAGAGAGAGTAGGCGGAGTCAGACAGACGACATGTAGTTGCAGAAGCAGAAAGACTCCGGAATCTTACCAGTAGGCCACAGCCTCGTACTGATACACAGAATAATAGAAATGGGTTAATTCAAACAGTGATGTAATGAATATAATTTCTGCGTGATTCTTTGGGTCTGGGTGGCCGGGAAACGAATGAGCAGTCTCCAGCTACAATTTGTTCAGCACACCCACAGCACAGACTGATAAATGACTCTTCCTGGGAGTAGAAAGGTTGCCATACTATAAATGTATCGGGTGAATTGGGACTGTAGGAGCACATGGACATATTAAAATTTTGTCAGGAAACTAGGACCAACAACTTACTGGACATGCCAGACTAAGGAAAAAGCACTGGTAACAGTGCCCACCAACCCATCATCTGGCCATCGGGTGTGGGCATCAGGGCTGACAGGCAGGCAATGACCAGCTTTCCCAGGAGCTTCAGTTCAGCCATGTCCCAGCTGCTCACAGAACCTACCTAACTGCTGCTACCTGTGCTAGCTGCTCTCCTGTTTGTCCACCTGCCCATTTGACCATCTGGACCCAGGCCTGCCTTTTCCCCTCTGCAAACGGACTCACGTCTGCAGCTCTGCTTTTAAACCCACAACCAGCAGCATTCTGGCTAGCAGCAGCAGCTTCCCCACAGGTGAACCACTCCTTACATTTCCATCAGCTTTCCTACTTCTCAGGACCTCCAAAACACCCCTCATACTCTGCTGAGGCCTCTTGCCCCTGGACAGCAATTCTGGAGACAGAGGGGGTCAGGGACACACACAGAGAGAATTCACTCTCTGGACTCAGGGTACTTTGCCTGTATACCTACATACCAGAAGAAGACATTAGATCTCATTATAGATGGCTGTGAGCCACCATGTGGGTGCAGGGAATTGAACTCAGGACCTCTGGAAGAGCAGCTAGTGCTCTTAACCTCTGAGCCATCTCTCTAGCCCCGGATTCAAGGTACTTTGAATATTGCTTTCTCCAGAAAGAGAGTTCTCCTGTAAGTCTTCCTTTCTGCCTGTAGGCTGAGAGAGGGTAGTAAAGTAACCAACACACAAGATTTTTACTTGTGCATGGCTAAAACCACAGTGATTTCCTAACAACCTGGACATTTCACATGCATGAAGTAGGAACGGGGGTGCTGCACCCAGTGTTTGTTTCCTCTTCTCTTCTGAAGAGGGGTGAAGGAGATTCTTGGCCAGAGGCATGTTCTTGTATGAAGATAGTCACCATCACAAACTGTGTAATCTGTAATGTGTAGCCTAAAGTTAATATTAGGAACTAACACTAGAATCAAGAATCTGTGTTTACTTCAGTCAGGGTCATCAAAGAAAGTGGGGATATCTGGAAAACTGGTGCCACTGAAACTGCCATACCTTGTGAATTTATTGTTATTCTATTATCACTTATTACTTTATTACTGTTGTTGTTTTGGTGCTGTGGAAAGACAAACATCTGCACCTATGTTTCTGACACAGTATGCTCAAAACAGAGAAGGGTTCTGTGGTTTGAGTGGTATTTATCCTCTCCAGAAGTCAAACTAAGTCTGGTTCCCAATGTAACAGTGTTAAGAGACAACAGAGCTGGACTGGAGAGTAGTTCAGCACTGAAGATCCCTTAGCTCTTACAGAATACACAAGCTCGGTTCCCAGCACCCAAGTCAGGCAACTCACAACCATCTGTAAGTCCAACTCCAGTCAATGTAGCATCCTCTTCTAGCCTCCAGGGCCCCCTGCACTCATAGGTACATACATACACACATAACTGGAGATAAGAAATCTTATGTCTGTGCATGCAGACCAACTAGTCTGATGTACACAGCAGAGAACAAGAGATCTGGATTCCAAGACAAAGTGAAGGGCCAGTGATGACTCAGCCTGAAAATGCACAAGCTTGACAACCCGAGTTCAATCCCCAAAACCCACACAAATGTGGAAGAGAAAAACCTCCAGGGAGCTGTCTTCTGACATCTACATGTATGTGTACATCCAACCCAACACACACACACACACACACACACACACAAGCTCACACGTGCAAATAAAATAAAGCTTAGAAAAATCAAATCAATTGGGATGGAGAGATGGCTCAGCAGGTAAAGGTGCTTCCCATGTAAGCCTCACAACCGATGTTCAATCTCTGAAGCCCACAGAGGTGGAAGGAGAGAACCAACCCTCCCAAATTTTATTCTAAGCTCCATATACAAACACTGTAGTGAGCCGGACAGGATCGCCATTACAAGATGGCGCCGACATCCTGTCTTGTTGGTTATAAACAACTCCATATTTGGCTATGGCTTTGAGAGCTGCGCGTCCCTGCTTCCCGCATGCGCGGTGAATGAGGATCCCTGAGCCTATCCCGATGCGGTCTGGTGTCAGCTGTTGGTGGCAGCCAATCACAGGGCGACCCGTGTGCCAATTCCCTATTTAAGGGGCTGCCTAAGTGCACCCCGGCCCCTGGCCCCTTCGCTTCCTGCTGCCTCTCCCCTCTGCTCCCTGTTCCTCGCTTTCCCGCCCTCTCGTTCCATGCTCCCCATCAATCAAGGGCACTCCAATAAAAGCGTGATCTGAATGGAATCCTGGTGTGGTGGTCATTCTTTCTCGCCGGTCGAGAGGTCCGCCACAAAACACCATACACACAGTAATATTTTAAATTGTTATTCATTCATTTACTTATTTATGCATATGGGTTTCTGCCTGTATGTATGTCTCTGTGCCACACGTGTGCCTGGTACCTGCAAAGGCCAGAAAAGGACATCAGATCCCGAGACTGCAGTTACAAACGGTTGTGTTGTGAGCTGTTATGTAGGTACTGGGAATCTAATCTGGGTCTTCTGGAAGATACTCAATGCTCTTAACCATTGAGACATCTCTCTAGCCCCAATAATGGTTTTAATTTAAGAAGGAGGGAGGGTAAAAGGCAAGAACCAACACCCAAGGTTGCCCTCTAACCTCCACATCTTTACTGTGGCAAGTGTGTACACACACACACACCTTTCCATAAATATTATTAAAACCAAGATAGTTCTGATCAAAGGCTGTGATTAAGGAGGGCTGAGGCGATTCCATCGAGAAAGTGGTTGCTGTGCAAACCTGAGGACCTGAGCTCTGGGTCCCCCGTCCATCTGCAGGCCTAGAACTAAGGAACAGAGACAGGAAGACCCCTGGAACTCTCTGGCCAGACAACTACTGATAAGTTCTGGTTCGATGAGAAAAGTAACCAAAAAAACCCTTCTAGATAAAAGCAAATCCAATTAAAGTAAAAGAAATGTAACAATAATATAAAAATGAAAACATGATTAAGTCATATTAAAAGTTATACAATTATTTCCACATGGAGACAGCTTAGCACTTAAAAGCACTGGCTGCCCTTCTGGGAACCCAGGTTAAGCTCACAACCACCTGAAACCCAGTTCTAGAGCATCCAGTGCCCTCTTCTGACCTCTACAGGCACTGTATGCTCATGATGCACATACAGACAAGCGGCTACATACAAATGTCTTAAAATAAACTCTTTAGCTTAAAAACATCTAATAAAATTTAACACCAATGAACAAAAAAAAACACTTGAAGAAAATGGGAACTGAAGGATGGTTTCTTGTCGTGATAAGAAATATAAATACCTTGGTCCTAAATCCAAAATACTATTAATGGAGAAACACTACAAACACTTCTATTGGTATAAGGACTAAAGCCAGGATAGCCACCACCTCTGCTAGGATGATCAGCCAATGCAATGAGAACAGGAAAAGCAAACTGAGGTTTAAGAGTAAGTATGAAAGCCAGGGTTAATCTCAGCATTGTAACCTCAGCATCAGGAGGCTAAGGCAGTAGAACTGTGGACTCAAGTCCAGCATAGGCTACATGGCAAGATCCTATCTCAAAAAAATTAAGAATTGAATAAAAAGTAAAAGTATTACTAATTGCTGTGCTGACAATACAATAGAACACCTTTAAAAAAAAACTTTAAACCCATAATCAATGGCAAATTTACACACTAATAAAAGAACTCAGCGAAGTATACCATTAGTACCAAGCCAATTAGTATGGTGCTGAAGCATGGTTCAGACGATAGAGAAACCTGAGTTCAATCCCCGGAACCTACACAAAGGTGGAAAGAGAGAACCAGCTCCACAGGTTTTCCTCTGACCTCCACACTGGTTTTGTAGCAACCATGCCCCCTACACAAAAAATAATCTGTCAATCTGTTAAACAATTTTCCTGTTGTTTTTTTTTTAAGCTGGACGTGGTGGCCTCTCATCCCAATAGTCAGGAAAAAGAGGCACCTGAAGACACTGCAAGTTCAACACCATCCTGGCCTTTTTCTACATAGCCAATTCCAGGTCAGACATGACTACATAATGAAATCCTGTCTCAAGGCAGAGGGAGTAAGCAAATTTTGTGGAAAAGCAATACTATTCTCACATAAAGGAAAGTGATACAATCCTTTTAGAAAGCAATTAGACAATATCTAAGAAAATTACAGTTGCATGTACATTTCAACCAGAACTGTACTTTTAGGCCTCTACCCTGAAGACCTATCTCCAACTGTAATGATCTGTTCTATCTCTTTAAGAGACAAGCCACACCCACTTCCTTCCCCATCTGCTGAGAAAGGCTGATCTTCAGCTTCCAGCCTGAGTTCCCCCTCTTTAAAGTCTCCCTCTCAAATAGGCAGCTTCTGCCTCTCCCCACTTCTCCCACCCCCCCCGCCTTTCTCTCTGCTCTTCTTCCTTCCCCCTCCATAACCCACTGAATAAATATCCAAGCTCACTCTGCATGGCATGCCTATCCATGTCTCTGTCTCTTGCCTGCTGCCACGTGTCTCCCTGCCCTGGACCAGCCACCACTCGGGGATCTGCAGCCGTCCCTGCCTAGAACTGGCTGCTCTCAGGGCCTGCTGTCGGCCGCCACATGGCCTGCTGCCACCACTTGGGGACCTACAGCATTTCTGCTACCTGCTGCCACCGCTGGGGATCCACAGCATTTTTAATTTTTCCATTACACCAACAATACAAAAATACAAGAACATAGGATTATTTGTTGCGCAGGAGTTATACTTGCAAGATAATGGAAGCAACCTAACTGTCTATAAAGAGAGTGGATAAATTAACTATGGAACATCCACATAAGTCAAACACCAAAGCAAAGATTAATGAGAATTATTTATAATATGCAAAAGGCAGAAATAGCTCAAAAGTCGATAATTTTATGAATGGATACACAAAATATGGTACATCCAAACAATGGATTACTCATAAAAACAAAGAGCTAACAACCTGGGTAGCAGTCTTTGAAAACATGCTGAGTGAAAGAAGCCTATCACAGAAATATGTGGGGAGCAGAGGAAGGCCTGAGCAAATGTGTCTGGTTGACAAGGGCATGCTGTTAAGGATCCCATTGCCTTCCCTAGTCTGTGTGCTATTGTTGACTGTGTGCAGAAAATGTGCCTGCAGCACCCTACCACGACCTCTACCCAGACTAGCTTAGTCAGCTATATTCAGTTCTACCTCCTGGACCCAAAAGTATAAAACAGACTCAGATGGATAGTCTCTGAGTTGCTGCTACTGGTGCATCTCCACCTGATCCCAGCTTTTCTGTTGTGCACTTGAGATCATACATGATCACTGTGTGTGTAAGCAATTCAAGAATGGCGGGTCACATATTTACTCTTCTCCATGAGCCCCAGAAGCAGCTAATTTAAAAAAAAAAAAAACAGTTAACAGCACTTGCTCTTGCAGAGGACCTGGGTCCAGCTCTCAGCACCCATACAGCAGCTAACTGCAGAAGTACCAACATCCTGGTTTGCTTGGTACCAGAAACACACATGACAAACATACATGCACGCATACATATAAAATAAAATAAATCAACCTTTAAAAAAAAAAAAAAGAACAGCAAGCCAGGCGGTGGTGGCACACGCCTTTAATCACAGCACTCGGAAGGCAGAGGCAGGCGCATCTTTATGAGTTCAGGGCTAGTCTGGTCTACAAGAGCTAGTTCCAGGACAGGCTCTAAAACTACAGCAAAACCCTGTCTCGAAAAAACAAAACAAAACAAAACAAAAGAACAGCTACAAAATAAAGAGGAGAAAGTCCAAAAATGTTTCGTTTGGATTCTGCAGTTTTTCCAAGTATATATCTTATGAGACTCATTAAAACACAAAGTTTACTAGTTTCATATACCCTTATACACATAGCCTGAAGATTAATTTTACATAAAATGTTTAATAATTTTACACGGAACAAAATTTCACAGTGCAGTCATCTCTGCACCCAAGAGTTTGGATTTGGGGGATTTTAATTTGGGGTGCTTAATTTATAATCATTTATCAAATTCCTAGCAGTTGCAATTTTTCTTTTTTTCAGTTGCATTTTTCTAAGAATAGCACATTAATCGCTTTAAATTCTCAAGTTTCCAAACCCCCACCACCACAAACACACACGCTCCCCCCCCCCTTTTTTTTGGACAGGATCTCTCTATATATTCTCTGAAAAATGGGCCTGGACTTGCTATATAGACCAGGTTGTCTTGAACTCAGAGACCCATCTGCCTCTGCCTCCCGAGTTCAGGGATTAAAAGCATGCACTGTCACAGCAAGTCTCTTTAACTCTTTATAGTTTCCATGGCCCAAAGCCAGATTATGAAGAAAAATACTTTAAGCCCCTCATCGCTGTCACCCAGTGATAAGCAATGTAGGGCCTACCGGGGTCAAGGAGCCTGGCAATCTTTTTGCATCAGGGGCAGGGGACGAAAGACAGGTCTCACTATGCAGCTCTGACCGTCCTAGAACTCACTATGTAGACCAAGGTGGCCTTGAACACAGAGATCCAGAGTACAGCCACCCCAAATCTAAAAAACCATTAAAAGTATTACTATTCTTATTAAATTTAAAACATATTATAAATATATCGACAAGAGTTTGGGGGCCCCTAAAGGAGATCACTCTAAATATTCTATTTCTAAACAAAGTAATCGCATAGAAGGAACCTTAGCTACATGGCGTTCAGCTGTCCACATTCATGACCTATAAGAAGTCAAGTCTTGTGCAGGGCGATGGTGCTTGCACGCCTATAATCCCAGCACTAGGGAGGCAGAGGCAGACGATCTCTGAGTTCGAGGCCAGCGTGGTCTACAGAGCGAGTTCCAGGGCAGCCAGGGCTACACAGAGAAACCCCGTCTCGAAAAGCCAAAAAATTCAAGTCTTGAAGAGCTGAGCAGGCCCCAAAATCCACAGGTGCAGAAACCGGGAGAGCCAGGTGAAGTCGATCAATCTGCTTCCTTGGGGCGGCTTGTCAGCGGAAACAGCTGCAGTCGATGGAAGCCGCTCCGGGAATTTTAAAATCATTGAGAAACCTTATGTCCGCGTCCGTTTCCACCCGCGTAAACCGCACTAATATCACACTCACCTCGCTGGGCTGCTGTGAAGGTGAGTGAAAGGACGCACAGAAAGGGATGGCTTCGCGCCGCTGTCACCGTGACCCACCCGGCGCACCTCTGGCCGGCGGTGGGAGTAGCGCGGAGGAGCCGGCACGGGCAGGAGGCCCGGTCCCGAGCCGGCGGATCTCCGGTCTCGCTTCGGCCCCGCGCCGGTGAGGATGCGGAGAGCCGCGGCCTTCTCGCGTGGTTCCGCCTCCTGGCGCTCACCGCAGCCGAGCTCACGCACACTCCGCGGCCATCCGCAAACCTGACTGCCCGGAACTCGCCCCGCGTCTCCACGGCAACAGCTTGAGCACCCAGACTCCTGCGCGCCGCACGTTCAACAAGGAACACTCTCATTGGCTGGGTGCCGGCCTTGTCAGCCAATCGGCGTGGGCGCTCCCGCCGTTGCAGTCTGAGCGGATTCGCAGGCGCCCTGGAGACTGTGCTGTGTCTCTGTGATTCCCGCGCGTGGCTACTGTTCTCGTGCAAGAGTCCTGAGCTCCTGCAAGACTTGCTTTTTTTTTTTTTAAATATGCATTGGTGTGAAGGTGTCAGATCCCCTAGAACTGGAGTTCCAGACAGGTGTGAGCTGCCATGTGAGTGCTGGGAATTGAACTCCAGCCCCAATTGTTCTTAAAACTGTGTCTTACACCGCAGTCCCAGCTACCCTCGAACTTGTGGCTGCTTCCGTCTAAGGCTTCTGACGTTACTGGCCAACGCCATCACATACTACCCCTTGCAGCTCCCGCAGTCACTATAAGAAAGGCATTCCATGGGGGCTGGAGAGATGGCTCAGCGGTTGAGAGAGCTGGCTGCTCTTCCAGAGGACCTGAGTTCAATTCCCAGCAACCACATGCTGGCTCACAACCATCTATAATGGGATCTAATAGCATCTTCTGGCATGCAGAGCACTCATACAGAAAATAAAAATTAAAAAAAAAAAGGCATTCCTAACAAAGACCCAGGGCAGGTGTCCTCAAAGTAATAGAAACGCAGAAAAACGCAGGCAGGACTAGATGGGGGAGCTGGAACCTTTCTCCGTCCATTATATTGCCCTGGTCTGGAACTTGGTAATTTATACCAGGCTAACCTCAAACTCACAGATATGTGCCTGCCTTTGTCTCCCAAGGCAGAGATTAGAGATATGTACCAGAGATTAGAGATATGTACTGAAAGACTTAGAACCCCAAATGGTTTAAAGCGAAAGGGCAGGGAGCAGACCCAGTTCAGAAAGGGGTATAGAGAAGTATTTCGGGTCTTGACTTGAAATACCTCCCGTCGAAAGTCTTCTGATAAGGGCCCACTATAGGAGAGGTTAGTCTCTTGAGAGTTAATAAAAACACTTGGGGGGAGGGCACGCCTTCAATCCCAGCATTCAGGAGACAGAGGTGAGCAGATCTCTGTGAGTTCAAGGCCAACCTGGTCTACAAAGTGAGTTCCAGTACAGCTAAGGCTGTTCCACAGAGAAACTCTGCCTTGGAAAACAAAAACAAACAAATACAACAGACAAAAAAAAAAAACTAATAGTGGTAAGAATCATGCTAAATAATTCAATCCAATCAGTCCAGTACAAAGGAAAAAATGCATTATTAATATGACAGGAAATTAAAAATATATTATCAACTTTTACTTCAGAGAAGTATGGACTGCGAGAGGGGAAGGAGGGGTGGACAGAACACATAAATATTAAAATTACAGTATTAAAATTGTGTTGTTGGACTCTAGCGTCCAAACACCGAGAAGGAGTCGCCCTCAGAGACCATCTCACACACCACAGCCGATGCAAAAGCATGAGGATTTTATTAATTCTGTCATGACAGGGTCCCCCAGCATTCGGGAAGCCGAGGGACCCCGAATAGCACGTACAGTCTACTTTTAAAGGGGCCACAGAAGCAAGGGGGGTTGTTCTTTGACTATTCTGATTGGCTTATTTGAAAGGGCTATTACCAATAATTGACTGGAGAGCTGTTGCCAGATCAGATGAGGTAAGAGGTTATTTTGACCCTGTTTCCCAGGGGACCGAACCAAAGCATACGTATATGGGTAATTGTTCAGGAACTGAGTATGTGCGAGTGTAGCTGTTAGGTCCTTGGTTCCCAGGGGAGGAGGGGAAGCACTATGGCACAGAGGCTGAGAGGATTCAGAATTGTCAAAAATGGCTTCAGGATTGTCTTAAAGTCTTACATTCCCTCCTCTTAATTGGTCAAATATCTCAATCTTGAGATATTAGTAAATTTGGAGGACCATTTTTATCTGTACACAGAGATTAACAAACCAGTGTTGTTTTCTCATAATAAGGAGGTCCTGCTGACAAGCATAGCCAATAAGATTGTGTCAAGCTGGGGTCAGTACTATTTAGCAAAGAAAAGGCTCCCACTACCAGATTAAACAGTCACTGGCCTGTATTAGAGCTTGCCAGCAGTGAAGCAGGGGTTGCAGAAGGGTTCTTAGCATTAGGAGTGGGGCCTAAGGCCCTGGCGAGGGGGGCTACCTCAGCAGGGGCTAGCTGGCCCTGG